GAGTCCAATGAGCGACTCCAGGTGCACTTGAAGGAGCGCATGCATGCGCTGGACGAAAAGAATGCCCTTACCCAGGAACTAGAGAAGGCGCGCAAGGTGGCCGAGGAACTGCACCACGAGAAGAGTGAGATCATGAAGGAGCTGTCGAAGACACGGTTAGAGATCGAGAACTTCAAGCGCCAGCTTCTGCAGCAGGAGATCGCCTACAATATCCAACAGACGGAGGCGCTCACCCGGAGTCTATCGCCCAGTAGCGTTGTGGACGCCAGTGGAGCCTTTAGCAGAAGCAACTCGCATGCCAGTTTCGAGACCCACTCGCTGCGGCGTCAAAGCAAGCAGCGTTTGTCTGAGGAGAACGCCCTGGTCCGCTCCATGGCCGAGCAAGAGTGGGAAAAGCTGCAGCAGGCGGCGCACGCCCAGCAGCAGGCCTACGAACTAGTGGCCAGCGCTGCGGAGTGCGACGACTCAGATGTCCTGTATGCGGCAGCCACGGCTGACATGATGTCTCCGTCGGGTCACACGGATGCCCAGACCTTGGCCATGATGCTGCAGGAGCAGCTTGACGCCATCAACAATGAGATTCGACTGATCCAGGAGGAGAAGCAGTCGACGGAGGCACGGGCTGAGGAGCTGGAGTCGCGTGTGGGCAGTCTAGAACACGTTAACCTGCTGGCTCGCGGTCGTTCCATGGACAGGCAGAGTCCGCCCATGAGTGGCCGGAGCACGCCCAACAGCCCGCAAAGGGATTTCATGCAGAAGTATCATACGGTGAGTGGCTTAAAATATTTACCAAGGAAACGATATTCATTTTTTATCATTTAACTCACAGCTCAACTTGCCCGTGCTGTCCAGTGATGCCTCCCGCGAAGAGCTTCATGGCGGCATGTCTACCACAGGTGATTCGAGTTCCGGCGGAGCTGCCTCTCCACTGACTGCCAGGTCTATGCGCCTGGAGCGTGTGGCCCAGGCCTTGGCTCACAGCCAAGAGGAGCTAAGGCGACGTTCGATCGGCTTAAATCCCAGTGCCCCGGTGGCCACTAATCACAGTGGAGGTCACATGCCACTCAGCAGCCATAGCTACGGGCTCTCGCCGCTCAGTTCTCGTTACGGCAGCCAAGAGTCATTAAGACATTACAATACCATGGGCTCTATGTCCATGCTGCAGACGCCTACTTCGGGTGTGTCTAGGGATGCGGCAGCTGCTGCTGTGCAGAAGAAAAAGGGCATAAAGTCCTCGCTGGGAAGGTTCTTCAGCAAAAAGGAAAAGGTCAAAGGCGTGAAAGATACGCTGCCTGACGGCTCGCCCAGCATGATGTCCATCGGCAACCTGTCGATCGGACTAAGCGAGGTGGACTCCAATTACGATGCCATGAGCATGACTGGGGGCATGATGCCCCGCATTGCCAGCTCCCAGGGATCCAAAATAAGCAGCGTTGACTACGGCAGGCAGAAGAAGTGAGGATTTATCTAATATAACACTATTTATGAATGTTTATTAATAATTTATGTCCTTTTCAGAGAACACGACTATCGCAATGACTTGCTGGGCGAGGCCATGAAGGCGGGCACTCCGTTTGCTCTGTGGAACGGCCCCACCATTGTCGCCTGGCTGGAGCTGTGGGTGGGCATGCCGGCCTGGTACGTTGCCGCTTGCCGGGCAAACGTTAAGTCCGGGGCCATTATGAGTGCGCTAAGCGACACGGAAATTCAGCGGGAGATTGGTAAGAATCTTGGGTATCCTCATTGCATTCTCTGGCTAACTTTTTTCGTCGACAGGCATTAGCAATCCCCTACACAGGCTCAAGCTTCGTCTTGCCATTCAGGAAATGGTTTCATTGACCTCTCCCTCGGCGCCACAAACCTCACGAACCACTCTGGCGTTTGGTATGATTTCATAAAATGTGTATTTGAAAATCTCAGGTTATAGTTATAAATATGTATCCGCAGGCGATATGAACCATGAGTGGATTGGCAACTACTGGTTGCCCGGACTGGGTCTACCGCAATACCGCACAACCTTCATGGAGTGTCTAGTGGATGCCCGAATGCTGGACCATCTCACTAAGAAGGACTTGCGCGGTCAGCTCAAAATGGTGGACAGTTTCCATCGGACCAGCCTGCAGTTTGGCATATCGATGCTCAAGCGCCTAAACTACGATCGCACAGAGTTGGAGCACAGGCGCAAAATGAGTGAAAACGGGTTGTGCGATGTGCTGGTCTGGAGCAACGAGAGAGTCATTCGGTGGGTGGGCAGCATCGGACTGAAGGTAAGTGTCGTCTCAGGATCATCGACTTTAAAGGCCTTAATAAACATGATTTTTCAGGAATATGCCAACAACTTGCTCGAATCGGGAGTGCATGGGGGATTGATGGCCCTGGACGAGGGTTTTGATGCCAATGCCATGGGTTTGGCCCTCCAAATACCCACACAAAATGCTCAGGTAAGCCAAACGAACCCACTTTTTAGATCAAAATCAAAACTGAATAATTTTTCTAAAAGGCTCGCCAAATACTCGATACGGAGTTCAATAATCTGCTGCAGATCGCCACAGATCGGAGGCCGGAGAACGAGCAGCGAAGCGCTTCCTGATGCAGCTACAGTCCGCCCACGTCCTCGGTGGATGAGTGAGCTGCTGCTGGAGGGCAGGACACATACAATAGAAGCAACCTACAACAATAAGAACGTAAAGACCAGGGGCAACGTTTCCTAAACCGTAACAGTAACGACAAGCAGAACTAAAAAAGAGAGAAGGATAGATATGCTAGCAGCAACTACGCCACAAAACTCTAACAAGAAAGACGCAACGCAAGAGACTCCCCAGCATGATGCACGTCTAATCCACATATTTAATATATATAAATACACGCATAGTCACATAATCCATAACAAGACAATGTATACAAGACATAGCACATACTCTACATAGGATATACGTAGTTGCATTGGCGCCGAGTCGCTGCTGCTGCCGCTGCCAGGGGTGTACAAGTTTTAGAAGCTAATCAGTTTTCGATTGTAAAATTATTATTGTTTTTTTTTATATAGTGTAATTGGGCTTGCAATAGACTAACAGTATTTTGTTTTAGATGATGCAGCAGAGGTGGGCAGAGAGATGACAGCGTGCTTCGAACCAAATTCGTAACCAAACTTGTTTGTTATATAATTTTTATGGCATTTTGTACAGTTTTTAATTTAATCCATTTTATTAATTTCTTTAAAACTTTAAATTAAAACAACTAACATACGCTTTACATATGACATTATCGTGTTTCTGTTTAGGTTTTTGTAGAAGGCAGATACGGCGTTCCAATTGAGTTTATAAACTGAACAACATGCACAACAATCAGGCATACATATATAGAGTAACAGCTGCATATATATATACGATTTATATATATTAAAATAAATCTAATTATTAAACATTATGAAGCATACGTGTAACTAACAAGAAAGTATTAAATGTGAAGTGAACGAAGGGGAAGGGAAGAGATGTAGAAGTCGCAAGCGCCCATTGAAACCAACTATTTACATACTTATATATACGAGAGATCATTTAGTAATCGAAAAAGCTTTAAAGGCAAACTAAACCTAAACCAAAACTCAAATCTTAGCCTTTGCACAAGCCATTAATAGAGAATTTCTTTGCTCATTGGCTTGAGGAGTTCGCATTCGATCTTCAATAGCGAACAAAGTCTTTAAATACTTTTAACGATCGATCTATTCACAAAATCTAAAAGCATATCCATTGTTTTTCAAAACATAAAATTACAAAACCTAATTGAAGTTTAGTTGAAAGTGCGGCCAGTTGAGTCATGATGAGAAGAAGGTCTTTCTTTTCTGTTGAATTCCCCCTCCTTAAAACTAACCACTCTATTTAAGTTTCGCATGTACTTACTTTTCCCTATATACATACATATGTTAAAGCACACAAACTGCCACATAACAACACGTACACAAGGAATCATCCACAGCATCTAACAATGTTGGTTATTGGGGTCTTATGTACACTAAGTTTAAGTTTTTACTTATTTGTACAAAAAACCAAAATCGCAACTAACGCTTGTCTTTAAGTTGAAATAGAGAAAATACAAACAGAAATCAGTAAAAATGAATACCATATACTTAAATTAATTTATAAAAAACTAATATATATATTATAAAATACTAACAATAAAAGAATACTTAATGAAATTATTTCAACTGTATTAGCAAAATTAAAAAAAAAAAAAAAAGAAAATGTAACGCGTAAAGAAACTTATAAAAGCTCTAAAAAACTGAAAACTTATTTATGTATGTAACTGTAGCATTACCTAAGGAAATCCAAGAGTAAAGCAAATATTTACGATGTGTAACCTTAATTGACTAACTACTAATCCACAATATCTAAGTTAATTTAAAAACAGGATTGGTTTAATTGTTGACTTTTGTTGAAAATTCCACAAAAGGAAGAGTTTAAAAATAAAAACCGAGCGTAACTAAACTAAATGCATAACCTAAATATAAAATTGATTACCTTACACTTATGTAAATATATTTATACAATATTGTGAACATGAAAATTGAATGCAATACAAGCAAATTAGGTAAAAATTCCGGTTAGGAGTTTTTTATATGTACCATATATATTTGAAAAAAGGAAACCAGCAAACCACAAAAACAAATGAAGAAAATATAACTACAAATTAAAATTTATTACAAAAAAAGCAAACCAAACATGCTTTAATATAATGACTATTTTTAAGAGGGTTATATAGGGAAGGGGTCATTAGCTCGACTGGTGTCTTGCAACTTACAGCTTGATCAAAGAGCATGTTAATCTGAGGAACTGAAAGATGGAATTGCTCTTGGCAACATTTGTAGTGTAGATTGGACTAAAGCAATTTTCCATCTAATCACCGCAAATATGTACATATATTTTGATCACTTTATAGAGTTGGGACAGGCAACAGCATGCTTTGATTTCAATGCGTTCATTTCAGTTTCACATTCGTTTCGTCAAAGGTTTCCTCTTTTTTTTTTTGGTCTCAAATTTTGTTGTCTATGCGAAGAAGAAATGTTTTTTAAGTCAATCAAGACATTTCGTTAGTACATGCGATACTGTTAGAAACTGTTTGGCTCCTGCTTCAAAATTCCACGTTAATAGCACGGAACAACCGGCTGCTTTGGCAACTAGCCGACTCAACAATCACTCGCCCTTTTCGGGAGAAGGGACAAGAACAGCCCTGGACAAGGCCAGCTTAGGACACGGATATTGAAGGGGTTACTGAACCGGGTGAAGGGAAAGAACAATCATCTACTGAGTTGAGGGGGGAGAACAGGAGCAGAAGCCAGCAGTATGACCACCCAGAGCCACACGCCGACCGGATTCACCGGGAGTCGCAACAGCTATTACAACCCTGTCTCGAAGATCCAGTCGCTAATCCACAACCTGGACGCAGAGCTGGTCCAGCTGTGCAAGCAGTGCTCTGTGAACAAGCCGCTGAGTAGCCATAACAACAACACTTCTTATGGAAGTCACTTTGGCTCGACCTTCGGAGCGCTTGGTGGTCTTAACTCTAGCTCCCTGGGTGGGGTCGGTGCGGCCAGTCAATACCGTCCCGAGAGTATTAACAATCTGCTGGCCCGCGCACGAGCCGTCAATCCGCCATCCAGGACCGCCAGTACCAGTTCGCCCAGTTCGCAGGAAGCCCAGAAGCGTCAGATGCGCAATGTCTACCGAACCCGCGTAATCGATGCCTATCGAAACCGGCGGATCTTCACTGTATACGGAAACTATCACACGGTGAGACGGGCTCTGATGCGAAGGGGCTGGCTTGAGAAGCTGCCGGCCTCCCGTCACTCCAAGTTGCAGAGCATGTCCGAAGACGCTTTGCTAGAGCACGCCCGGCGGGGCAACGACTACGAGACGGTGATCATCTCCAAGATGATCAACCACTTCCCGGCCTTCTTCATCTGGCAGGGTAAGGGCCAGCGCGACCTGTGCGCCGAGGTGAGACCCTTCCGAAACCGGGTGCGCCGCAGCCAGTTCCTAGACTTTTCCACCAAGGTGGGTCTAGTGGGCTGCGCCGAGCAGGAGCGTTGGTATCGCGAGGACGGTGTCTGCGGGATGAGCTATCCGCGTTTCTACCGCCTGGGAGGGAACAATCTGGAGGAGCGCATGGCCTTCATAGAGGACTACCAGCAGACGCAGGCCCGTTCCCTACTGCGCTACGTGAGGGAGCACCAACCATCGGAACTCATCAGTGATCATGGCACTATATCCAGCACTACCTTGGACTTTGCCCTCGGGAAGGTGAAGAGGATGGTACGCAACGCAGAGCACTACTCCTTGGACGACGCTCGAATCAAGCCGCCAACGCCTGCGGAGATTGTTGAGAACCAGACCTTCATGGTTCAGTCTACCGATGTGCTCAAGTCCAATGCCAAGTTCAAGGTCAGCGAGAAGGTGATGACGGAGTACGCTCGATTGGCTGGGTTATATCTCGATCAGATCGAGTCCCTTCGCTCGGACTACCGGTGGGATGGCTGCCGCAACTTGTGGATCCTTAAACCTGGATACCAATCGCGCGGCATCGGCATCGTCATCCGCAGCTCCCTGGACGACATTCTTCAGTGGACATCCAACAACCAGAATAAGAAATACATCGTCCAGAAGTACATAGGTGAGTGGGGCTATCGTGGCTAACAAGTTGGTTTTCTAGCACATAAAAGGTTAGCCCTCATAATATTTATCGATTTTCTCCCTTTCTTCTTTTGCCAGAGCGACCCTTGCTAATATACCGCACCAAGTTCGATATCCGGCAGTATATGCTGCTGTGCATCACCGACTCTAAGGTGAGCATCTGGACGTACCGGGACTGCTATCTACGCTTCAGCTCTCAGGAGTTCACCATGGACGACTTGCGAGAGTCCATCCATTTGACTAACAACTCGGTGCAGAAGCGGTACAAGAACAAGAGCAACAGGGACTCTCGGCTGCCGAAGAGCAACATGTGGTCCCTGGACCAATTCAAGGCTTACCTACGCCAAATGGGTGCCCCGGATGGGTCGTGGTCCAAGACGTACAACGGATTCAAGCAGAATCTGGTGGCAGTAGTGATGGCCAGCTTAGACGAGACAGAGCTGTTACAAAATGCCTTCGAGTTGTATGGTTGCGATTTCATGATCGATGAGCACTACAATCCTATTTTGATCGAGATCAACTCGACACCGGATCTCTCGCCATCCACTGAGATCACCGCCAGGATATGTCCGATGGTCCTAAAGGACTGCATCCGTGTGGTGGTTGATCTTCCTAAGAACCCCACTGCCGCCACCGGGCTCTTTGAGCTGGCCTTTGAAGTTAACTACAGCATCAACAAGGGAGCCGACGGCAAGCCGCTCGAACTGAATGGCAAACAGATGACCATTTTCGAGAACATGCCTAGACCCCGTAATAGTCCCAGGACGCGGCTATTTCGGAAGATTTTGAACAACGTGAAGACTTCTACCAGCAAAAAAATGGAAAAGGCCAAGGAAGCTCCAGCTAAAATTGTAAAGACCTCCAATGCCAAGATCTCAAAAAAGAAGGTATGGTATATTCAAGTTTAGTTTAAGAGTTTTAATTGGAACTTTTATTTTTTCTTTCTTCTCTTCACAGAAACATGGGACCTCAGCGGAAAATTCAAGCGTGTCCTCCATGCATCCCTCGTCACAAAACTTGCAACCTAAGGTTATTCTGAACCCAACAGCTCGCGAGAACCTGGCACTTCAATATACCGCTCCAAAGTAATAATAAATACAGAACTAGTTTTTTAAAACTTGTAATAAAAAAGTTTACTAAATAAGTAAGAATATTTAATATTTATTTTACTTCCCTTTCTTACTTTATTAGTATTATCTTTGTGTTAGGATATATATCGGAAAACTGAATGAGTTTTATTAAAATGCAGTAAGTTATCTCCAAAACTGTGTGGTCTAAACTTCCAAAACTATGAAAAGTGAGTTAAACTAATATCATTCATTAGTTATTATAAAAAGGAATGGTTTAGCATCTGCCTTAAAATGTAAAGACCTTTAACGACTACTAGCTACGATTTCCCAAGATAAATTTCCCGATCAGCCATACTTTTACCACCAATTCCCAAATTGATTTAAATTTATTGAATAGCTAAAACATTTAATAGAATACAATAACATCCACTAGTTTTTATAAAGATTTTTCGATTAAACTCTTGTTAAAATATGTATAATCATTCGTCCTGCTACTTGATTATTAATTGAATTAAATGCAGACCTATTTAATATTTGATTTTAAAGGCATCGTATTAGTAATTTTTTAATTTAAACATAACTATCTCAGTTTACTAAAATATTAATCTAATTAAAATTTTCTCAAATACAATAAAATGGTAATATTAATTAGTTTATGACTAGAATTTTGAATATATTTAAGAGAATATTATGGATATTAAACTTTACAAATTAAATTAACGTAGATGTTTCAAGATAATAATATTAATTCTAATAATTAAACAAATATTTTTTTACATATAGTAATATTTTTCACCCTATAACAATTAACGTTTTTAAACATTGTTTTGTCTAAATACAAACGGCAGCCTATTCACAGGGAAAACGAAGTCCCTCCAAGGTCAGGTAATTGGTATTTATTTATATTATTTCATGGAAAGGCAAGAGGCTTAGTTTTTAGTGACCAATCAAAAGCAATATCTAATGTCTTAGCCTACCGGAAGTGCTGGCGTGGGCACCGTTAGCGTGGAACTGTTCAGCTTGTTGGCCAATGCGGTTCGCGGACTCATCATCTGAGCCTGGGAGAGCTGAAGTTCGCTGGTAGCCTGCTTTAAAGCCGCCACTATGGGCTCTCCTCGATGCAATGCCTGCACGGATATACTAACAGGTAGCCGTGGTCCATTTGACTTCCGTCCAAATGTTTTGCCAATGCACCCAATAGTGCTGTCGATCTCGGATTTGGTGCGACTAATGCGGCGCGTGGGCAAAGTGGGAGCAGGCAAGGGCACTCCTTTGGATCGGGATGCAGAGTTGGAGGAGCTGACCGTTGTGGCTGCAATGTTGCGCAGACTTCGCCATTTACGCTCGCTAATCACCGGAGCAGTGGACACAAAAGCCGCTTCCTGCCGCGCATCATGCAGAGGCTCATTTCCGGTGGCAGAATAGTTTTTAATCAGGATCTTGAACTTTTTCTCTGAACTCTCCACTGGATTCGTGGAACTAAGACGGGGTCCACAGCTACGCTGCCGCTTGGGTGGTAATGCGGTGCTAGGGATGGGTTCACCCGGAAGAGAACCTGCCGTATTGCGTTTGTGGGAGGCACTGAGGAGCTGGGTGATGGAGCGGCCGGCCTTATTGAGGATAAAGGGACTCGGTGATCCCGTTGGAGGAGCCGTGAGGACAGCAGCCACTGAAGGCGACTTTTGTAGCTGCTGACTGCATAGGCTGCTTCGGCTGCTGCTCAGGGGCTCTACCATGTACTTCTCCATATACTCGGTGGCATTAAAGGTGGGCATGGCGCGGTGGATACGAGAAATACTCGTCGCCGGATGAATGATGGCCGAACGCTGGCGGTAAACGCTGCTGGTGGCCAGCGAGCGCTCCTTTCTCTGCTGGTAGTAGTAGTGACCATGGCCACTTCCATGGTTCACCTTTTGCAGTACCTGCTTGCCTTTTACGAAAAGGTTAAGGCCCATGTAAGCGGGAGTGGGTGGCACCACCTGGCGGTATGCCAGCTCAAAGTTGCCCATGTCCGCCTTAGGATCTGTGCGGCGATCAATAACAACTGCAAAGGGTTGACATGTTTAATATGATTTAACTTTATCCCCTTCCTTGGACTCACCCTTGACGACATCCTCCAAGCATTGCGGGCACATACGTGCTGTCACACTGGTGGTAGCTCCCAAGTCCGGACTGGAGTTGATCTCTATCAGCCAGGGGTAGAAGTTCTCGCAGATCATAAAGTCGGCACCAAAGAGTTCGAAGGTGTTTGGCCGTCTGTCCATGTTCTCCTGGGATGCAAGCATGCAGCCCACGATGGCCTTCCGCATTCCAGGGAAGATCCGCTCCAGCCACATGTTGTACTTGCCAATTTGGCGTAGATAAGCCTGGAAAGAGTAGCAGTCCCACATGTTCTCACTTGGCAGTCGCTTGTCCCGCTTCCCGTTGGTGTACTTCTTCTGAATGGCGTAGTTGGTTAGGTGCACAGATTCGTGGTGGTTGCTCAGGCTGTACTCCTGCGAGCTGAAGCGCAGGTAGCTCTCCCGGTAGAACCATACCACCAGGGGCTGGGGAGTGAGGGAATAGAACGGATTATGATTGGCTACTTGCAGCTGATGGAAGGTAGCTGATTTACCTGGGTGTTGGTTATGAGAAACCACTGTCGTATATCGAATTTGGTTTGGAACAGGATCAATGGCCGTTCTGGAAATACAAAATAAATAAATCAACGAAATACAATGACTTTTCTTTGTCGATGTATTAATCGTATTTAAATAAATTTGGTAATTAAACCATTTCTGTATTGACAATCTTAACTTCCTACAAACAGTAGTAATAAGAATATTGTTATATTAATGCAATATCCAACAAAGTAAACAGGAAATAAAAGCATACATATTTAAGACAAGTCAAGTAAAGTAACAATAGGAGTGATTCCTTCCACTTTCTCCACATGCATTTCTTTGCAATTCCATTTCTATATTGACTATCTTAATTCCCAACAAACAACAAACAAAAGGCATTTACGGTTGGATTAAAAATCAATTCTTGGGCAAACCTGTTGCAATTCACGAGGCAGACAGACGCCGTAAAGCAAATTGTGATTGCTGCCAGGAAAGGAGCACGACAACGACAGCGGCAAAAGCAATGATTGCGTTTTTAGGCCAAATATTTATGCATTTATGTAGGCCTGGGAGCCAAACGGCTCTTACAGGATATACGAGTGTAAGTATGTATATTGTATGTAGGAACCTATGTGGGTGCGTGTGGATACCCCAACATTCTGACATTCTGGGCCTGCCCTGAAAATGGGGCCCACACAAAGCAAAGAACAGCAGCTCGAACAACAACTTTGGCACCGTCCTGATTTACGACCTAGTTTCCGTGTGTTTGTTTATATCGTTTACTCGAAGGACTTGAAATGTTTTAGGTCTGCACTTAAGATGCTTTAGTCACTATCGATTGGTAAATGTAAATTTCGGATCTAGTTGAGCATACAGTTTTGCAAAAGAAAGTTTTAGTTCAGAAATAAGTTTAGGACTTAAAAATGTTTTGGCATTTGATATACATTTTACATAACTATAAGAATGTTTCATAGAATGGATACTAGACCTTACTTGAAACATAAAAATAACACACGGAATTATATTTCTTTATCTTTCTTGAAACTATAAGTGAATACCATTTTTTTTGGATTTTCCAATTATCGCTTATATAGGGGACCCATTTTCTGACACATAACTACTTTTCTTTGCCAACCACCTACAAATTTCAGATCCTCGAGGAGGAAAACTATACTCACTAGTTTCGAGCTCCTTTAGATTTACATACCTATATACTTCTGCACCACATAGCGGCTCTTGGAGGCAATCGACGGGTTAACTACGCCCAGTATTTTCTTGAGGTTATCCATGAGGATGATACCCCTACCGCGACACTTATTGGCTGGCTTGACTATCCACAGATTTTGATAACCATCCAGGCTGTATTGCGGCCAATGGATCTTCATCTTGTCCACCAGCGATAGGCAGCTCTTGACCATCGGATCCAGCCGCTGGCCACCATCGTGCTGAATCCGCCCGTCTTCGTTAACCAGCTGCTGGTGCTGGAAGAGAAAGGCGTCCCAGTCGTGCTCCCATATCTTGGGCGGATCCTCAAAGTCAATGTCGTTGTGCTGGCAGCTGTCAAGGAACTCCACCAGGCGCTTGTAAGCAAAATCTATCGAGGAGTAGGGGATTTTGCCACTGCAAGAGAAGACTGCCTCGGAGCCCTGCTTGTGGTACTTGCAGAGCATGGCTCTCAGAAAAGCCACACAAGCGGTCAGCTTGAAGTTCTCGATGAACTCGCCCAGTTCCTCCGGACTCCAGACGTTGTAGCACCTCGGGAAGTACATCTCGGCGGTACCTTCCTCGAAGAACCAGTGGAAGTCTCGCAGCTGACTACATAAGCCCTCCTTCGAGGTGAACGGTGCCCGATGGAATTTGTTTATGGTCATGCCGGGGTTCTTGGCCTGGTCGATGTAGTCGCACTTCTCTTTCCGGTTCGTCCAGAGAAAGTCCACAGGCATATGTTCCAGGAATCGGGACATGATGTTCCTTTCGCACTTCTGCACATATTGCCGCCGTGTTTCCCCTGCCTTCCTCTTGGGCAGTCGCTGGGTGAGATCCTCGTAGGTCATCTGTCCCGCCGGCATCACTTTTCGGTGCACGTCCAACTTTTCCACCCAGCCCCTCGTCAGGAGAGCGTTTCTCACAGAGTTAAAGCAACCGCGGATGGTAAAGATCTTATTCTGCTTGGCGGCCTCCTGGGCCTTCCGCCTCAGTTCGTTCATCCTCTCGGTGGTAATCCAAGTGCGTCTAGCCACGTAGTTGGTGGGTGCACCCAAAGGGCATGATTTGGTTGGGGGCGGAGCCTTTGCAGGCTGGTTCTCCTTGTTACTCGTGTCGGGAAGGGTGATGGATGAATCCTTCGTCGTGGTTGGTAGTCCCACCTTTGCAGGGCTCTCACTTTGGGCTGGCGTTAGCTGGATTATGGGGACCGTCAATGGTGGCACCACCCTGTTGGCCGGCGTGGGCGGTGGTGCAGCCGGTGGGGTAATTGGCTTCTTGGCCAATGTTGCACTGGCGCACTTCTGGGGCTGAACCCCATCCCTGTCCCTATTCGCATCCTGATCTCTGCTGCGATGCGGTTCACTGCTCGGACGCGTCTGCATGGCGGAAGCCTCGCCAGCCGACTAAATTCCAGCACTTGGCACTCGGACTGGGCCACTGGGTGAGTGGGTTGTTAATTCGCGGAGCTCCCTGGCAACCATTGAGCCAGAAAAAAGTTCACAAGTTCACTTCGGCAACGACTCTATTAATAGGTACATGCTCAACTTGGTTGCTTCCTGGGCTTAGCCTTTGCCTTTGTCCGGGATTCCACACTCGGTAAGACACTCAAAGCCATGTTCCGGTCTTTGCATTCGAGAAGTTCCATGAACTTAATTTAAGGAGTGTTTTTGGTAGTTTTGAAAAATTAAAGAAGAATTTAAATTATATTAAACGCTCTTTTCCATATTACATTGTTGAAGGCTTCTCTAAGAATTTTCAAATGTTTAAATTATTTAATAAAATGTTATAATATTATATTTGCAGCAGGTGGTCACACTAACATATCTATACACACTTATGCAGTTGTAAGCAATGTATTTCTCTCCCTTACTTTTGCATAAAGTTCATGCAAGCGAACACTATGTGTGTCCTGTTCGCACGATCAGCAAATGTCACCAATTCATGAAGAAATTAGCTTAAGATAGAAAAAGATAAAGGAAGAACAGTTCATAAAGACGCCTGCATATTGTGTACACATATGTATGTACATATGTATGTTCACACATGCATATATGAAATTTGAATATTATAATATCATACTTTTTGGCGACTCTTATCAAAAACATTTGGGTTCCAATTGCCTCATCAATAAAATTATTCTTATTAAATGTATTTATTTCAGTAACGCCTTTATTTTAAAAATATGTTTCATATTTTTTGATTTGTTAAATTAGAAAATAGAAATTGAAAATCAGAACTGACTCCACACATACCATTGCATACCATATTCGTGTTGTAGTTTTGGAGCATAGCTTTTGCACTTTTTACGTTGGGTTAGGTCGAATGGGAATGGGGGTTTGTGCTGGTTACCTGGCAATGTTGGGTGACATAAAAATGACCTTCAGAAATATGATTTTCAAACGCACCTTTAATGTGTGATAATATAACGCTTGAAAAATGCATCTAGGTTAGATGTTGTGATAAAACAAAGTAAATAAATTTACCTGAAGTATTTTTATGTATAATATCCAATTTAAGCTTTAAGTATAATGTTGACTATTTTATATTATTTTAAGGAATATTTTTGTTTATTCAATAGTATTAATTATTATTATTTCTTTGAAAGTGTGCGACCAATCCCATACCTTTCCCGTCGTTTTCAGGCCCTAAACGAAACATATGCTCCTCGGCACCGAATAATCCTCGTCATGTGAATGATGTTTTTGCACGATACCTGTTTGTTTTCTCCGGTTCCACGGAGCAGTGGGTGTCGTCGTCATCGCCGTTGTTTGGTGTTGGTGTCATCGCCGGCGTTGTCGTCACTGGGAAGAGCGTTGCCTACGTCAGGGCGAGTGGAACCTAGGGCCGAAAGAGTCGTTGTGGATGTGTATGTGAATGGGCAAGAAGAGGAGGTGGGTTGGACTGCTTGATGGATGTACTGCTGCTTGTCTGCGCAATTTTCGCAATGGCGAGGAAAAGGGAAACTTTTCAATTATTTGTAAAATAATCAAGTTAACTGCCACCACAATCAGAGCGGGGACTGAGCGATTATTGGGTTATGTTGGGGTTACCCGGAGGCCTTACGTCAGAGCCATGTGGTTGGGTCGGAGTCAGTTTCCTCCTCCCCCTCTGTATCTTAAAGGGTATCTGGTTCAAGGACAATTCAGCCGCAAAACTTGATTCGTAGCGGTTTTGGCACGGGTTTTTGACAGAGTTGCGGCAAAGTTGTTGTCAGTGGGACGCCCAGGACACGGCAACACCTTCGACAGGAGTCGGATGGATACCAGCCTACGGTGTCCTTGCGTGCCGACCAAGTTAAGAGACCGCCTCTCCTTTGTCTACTTTATTTGCATCGCATTAAAAATTTGCCTGGTATTTAGCCTCTCGTGGCTGGTTCGCTTGCCAAGACAGTTGTTCTTGCAACTGGGGCGGTAATTAATTTTAGCCGGGGCGGGGTGATATCCGGAACGGGTTATGGCCTGGTAATTTGAGGTAATGCGCCAGATTAAGTTTATTTACTTTGGAGGAGGACCCGCTTAAGAATTCCAGCAGATTTGGGTCAGGGAGTTTGACAAGACGAAATGATAGGCTTAAAGTTATTTATTTGTAAACTTTAAATAACAATGGTTGGCATAAATAGTAGAAGAAATGAGAGATCATATCGGATTCTGTTTGATTTAATCATTTTTAATAAATAATCAAGAACTTCTTGCAATGAGAATGGTAACACCTTGTTAGCTTATTTATTGGAAAACCTTTCTATAAAAATGTACTGCATTCTAGACTTTATAATAACTCTTTTTCGTTTCTAATGCAATACTTAAAATAAAGTGGTGGTTTAAAGTGCTTAAATATGTGTTATTAACTTCAACGCTGATTAAATGATCTCTTGTATTGATTTATATCTCTTAAGTGACTATAATTACAACTGAGATGAAATTAGAAATAGTAATTTAGGCCCTTGCTATGTTTTTAAAGTTTATTTATAACTATTTAGAGGATATTTTATATGTGGAAAACAATGTAATACGTATTAGGTCTTGTCGATCTATACTGTATTAGACATTTTGACTCTTAGGTTTAGTAAATAAGACATTAAAGTTATAAGGGCTTATAAGGGAGACTGTATGTAAATATCGGCTAAGTAAGGCACGACTTAAGCTTCCTCCTTTCCTTTATACAACATCATGTTTAAAGCAGAAACCATCTCAATGCAGCCCTTCAGAATATTTAAAATTGGAAGATAACACATAAGTGCAACCTTAAATTATTTCTTAAAACTCCCCGAATCCGGTCCTGGGCATCATAAAAAACTTTCGCCAGGATGCGTTGAACTCAAGGCAAACTCATTCAGTGGCCTCCGTGAACGAAGACTACTACGGCCAGCAACAAATATGAAAGCTTTTCCCCGCCGGCCAAAGAAGCTTTTCTCCAACATGGAAATTGGTGGCAGAGAATCAGAGACAAAGCGTCAAAGAAAGAGAACAAAATTAAAAATATTTAAGAGAGAAATAAAAAAGGCAATATTTGAAATATTTTAAGTAATTTTAAATATATTTAAGGTAACATAAAACATTTAATATAGAACTTGAAATAGAACTTTCTAATTTTGATATAAAAATCATATTTTTATTTCAAAAGTTATTTTTTTGATATTAATGTCCTGTCTTAAATTTAGCTGGAAAGGTTCGAATATTTATTCAAAATAAAATAAATGGTTTTCAAAGTACAACACATTTTTGAAAAGTGTTCCTCAAGAGCTTAAAAGCTAAAGTTGCCGACGAACGCCTTCGGTTGTCCATGCAAATATAAAAACCGAACCGTCTGGGAAATGGGAAATCATTCATAACGGAAAACTCCTGACGTGTAGACGTGAAAGTGCCGCGATTTCTGCGTTGATTTCTGTCGCGTCTTTCGCTGCTTGTGTTTTGTGTATTTTTATTGTTGCCATTATTCTTTGCGACTATACTGCCCGCTACTTAGTATCTGTTCGCGAAAAATAAAGAAAACTGAGGCGAATCGAGAAAAATAAACAAGTCAACTAAAATATCCCATTCATCTTGTTCTGCCAACTTATTTCTAATTGTGAAGCAACCTTGAATTTCCACCTTACGCTGGAAATTGCGAAACAAAAACAAAATTACAAAGCGATATTGTTTACCCAAAAACTAGTCAATTATCAGCGAATTTTGCCATTTGCAATGTGACTTTATAAGTGTGATCGCAGCTTTTTTGACGTTTCATTTGGCCAAGAAGACACGACTGGAATCGGTGATTATCGGTATATTCGATATACCGACACTTTAAAAGTACAAAAGAGGATTACGGATCGTTGTTTTGGATAACTGATCAACAAGAACAAATTGCTAAAAATGGGCACTATCGGTGAGTAAAAGTAAATTAAGGACAGCTATATGCTGATATTAATGCTGTTCTGTCAACTTTAGATCGTTTTTAGAAAAGCAGAATTAGAAGATTTATGTTTAAAATAATATTTTCCCACTGATCTTTATTTATTTCTGGTTTTAGTTGAAATTTCTTTGTTTTTTTTTATTCTAACTTTTGAAAAACGACATATTTTTTAAATGTGTTTTTAAATCGAACAAAAACTTTATCATTTATTAAGCTTTTCAATTTATGGTTTGTATGATATAAATTTGATCAAATGGACAAATCTAACCAAAATAATATATCTATGTTAATTATTTTTTTTGTTAGTCGAAAACATTTTAAGTTAGTTGTTACTTTTAACTTGAACCTTTGCTAAATCAATCTCCCAAGTCTTCTTGAGGCTGAGGCAGTTGCTCATCTGAGTACCATAATTGCCAATGGTTAGTTAACAAACAGTTGCACAATTTTGTTCTTTGATTGTCATCCAATCCGATTATGCTTTGTTTGCCCAGGCCAACTCCACACGAGCCGGGCTCAGCTGTGATTCAACCTATATTTATGTAAATAATCCTTCTGAAAGACCTCACACAACACTGCCGAGATTCTTTTCAATCGAACAGGATGTGGGAGTCAGTCCCCTTGTCGACGCCCCACACATTTCCATTTTGTCCTGCTGTTTTTCTGTGTTGGTTGCTTTTCAATTATCCTGGCTAAAAATAAATCGAGTAGCAACAGACCAAAGAGAGCAATCAACCCACATGGAATACCACTTGGATCTGCTTTCAACACCAGCCCAAAAATATAAAAAAAAAGGAGGAGAGCCAGCGACAAATGACAACGACGTCATTATCATAAACATGGTCTGCCCGGCCTGCCCGCTGAAATGCTATGAATTTTGTTTATCCAAAATGTATAAAATAAATTAGATGGCTGGGGATAGACCCTAAACTCATAATCGAATGACGCACGAGATTTTGATTTTCAACGCTCATAATAATATGTATGTATGTACATGTGTATGTGGGTGTTGTAGCCGGTCATTAGCCAGGTGGCTTTGGCTTTTGAGCGGTATCCTTGAGGCCGGCAATCCGTAGTTCACAATCCAGTGTCCTTTCGGGTGCGCCCACAAATGCGCTCTGATTGCCATCTCCCACCATCTCGGTGGGGCAGAGTGCCGGGCCCTTCTGCCTCAATGGGTTCATTGTGATGAGCCCCACACGACAGTTGCATACTCAAGTGCCACCTGCGGCCAGGACTTGCCTTTTTGAATGCCATCCTCGGGATGTGACTTGTGCCTGAGCGAATCGCATTAAACACGCTTCAGCACATGATGGGGCATGCTGCTCGGCACTGAAACATCCTCGAAGGACATTTCTTGCTGGCTTTGCTAAAAGTTCAGGGGTGAATAAAACCATAGATAACAGATATGACCCTGTGTCTTCATGGTAATGCAACATTATGCCCGGCACGAAAATGTAACGATTGAACAAAGGTCATTTGTAAAATATCTTCTTGCCCTTGGGCTTTTTCAATTTCAGATTGGTTTGAGTCTCTTGACTAAGCCACTTATTTTTCATTTTCATAGTTTTATATTCTTGGTAATACTTTTTGTTTTCAACTTAATGAATATCATTCCCTCAGCTCGTCTAAGTTTTGAGTATTTTTGGTATTTTATAACTTACAAAGAGATCTGGCCACATACTAAGCTTAAACGAAAGAGCTATTTGTAAATAAAGAGTTATCGATAGGTCAACTCTTAAGTCCGATTTGTCATGCTTCTTTTTGCAAAAAGTTAAGTTTCTCGGGATTTCAATACGAAAAAGCTAAAACGAAAGACTCTACAAACTGGGCTAATTTATAGTGTTGTTAAACCGATATGTCACAAGGACTTCTAAAGCTGGCATATCGATATTGAAAAAAGTTAGCACCAATACATCATTGAAATGACTTTCTTCCAATGACAAGCACTTCCTAAAACGTCTGGAAAACACCTGCCTTTCTAGCAAATACTGTCTTCATTTTTTTTTAACATTTTCTACCTTTTGTACTCCGCGTGGCTTTGACGATACTTAACTTTTTTTGTGAATATACAGCAAAATGCAAAGCGATAAGTAAGTGCTCCTCCAAAAACGAAGTTCAAAATCAAGCTAATTAGATTCCATGCAGAGACGAATCCAACCGCCACATGGGCATCACCTGCTGTGGCTGCCAACGTAACAATTTTCCGGGTCGCCGGTTCCACTGCCTGTCCTGTTTGGATGAGTTCAACCTGTGCAACGGCTGCTATGCCCTCGACGTGACCACCGAGGCACACAAGTTTGACCACGCGATGCGCTGCATCCTCACTCCAGCCAGCATGGCTCTGTTCTACACGGAAGCGGAGGTGCAGTCCGGAAAATATCCGACGCTTATTCGCTGTCCCTACTGCAAGATAAACAATTTCAACTTGGAGGAATTCGAGCAGCACTTGGAGGAGCTGCACCCTAGCGCAGATCCCCAGTTGTTGTCCTGCTACAAGCTAAATGCTTAGGGGACCCAAAATAGCTTTCTCAGAAGTCAATTGCCGAGAATAATGGCTCCTTTTAGGGCTTCTGTTTATTGGTAATAGAACCCCACAAATGTTAATGGGACGTTCGTTAATATTGATTACTTGTATAAGCAGCCGTGGCACTCCAATAAATATACATAGGTTTTATATTAGACGGCTTCCATTTATTGTCTCACTAAATGTTTTGACTTAATTAAGCGCGACTGACGTACTTTAAATTTACTAGGTTTTTGTGGGAACACTTTAGCTTCAGAATAGGGGCAAGTTTGAATAGGTTTTAGGCACTTGCAGTAGACGAAGTGACCCTTCAGATACTCGTCGAACTCTTCCATCAGGGATTCGTTTTGGAGCAACTCGCGGTAGTCCTCGACACTCTCCAGATTCACCGGATCCAGCTGGTGCATGTAGCACTTCAGTTTCAGGACCGTTGCGTACAAATAGTTGAATATATCGACGGCCATAATCTTGTGGTACTTGATGCTCCTATGAAGGCTATCGCCCATGATGAACGGGGTCTCCTGGGTCTTGTCCAGTTGATCGTAGGCAGCATAGAACTTTTTGCAAGTCTGATTTATTTCCATCAAGGAATTCTTCAAGGTATTGCTAAGAGAATGATATTATTATAATGTCTGATTTGCTCAAAGAATAGATTTAACATTCTTTAAACTAATTATTATTATTAAGATATTCTGACAGTCTAGGCTACTTACTTGGAGGCTCGCACTACCTCTAGTTTCTCCTCGTACTCATTGATAATCGCCTCCTCTGTGGATAAGGTATAAACCTCGGGATACCGACAGCTCTGTTCAGAACTGATCAGGATCAGATAGCGCTGGGTCAGCAGCCAGATCCGTTCGATGAGTGTCCTCTGGGCAATCATTTCGCACTGATACCGATCATAGTATTCCCCATATTGTTTCTCTAGACTCACAAGGAGTCCCAAAACCTCCGCCTCCAGCTCGTAGTGCTTCTTGAGCTGTTGCGTCAGATGGGGCTCCTCATGTTCCATTTTGCAAAGAAATCTGTTGGCTTCTGATTTGGGTTCCAACAACGGTTGAACTTTGTTTTCCATTTTGTTTATAGACTACGTGTGTGTGTGTATGTTGAATGTGTTCAAACTGCCTGAATGTCTGTGGATATCTCATAGAGCTGCCATCAAGGCAGACTAGATGTGTTAGTCCCTATGGGGTCTACTGGCCGGCTGATTTCGGCCATCAATTTTGATGCTCATCTCTTTCGTCAGTGGCCAATTAGATCTTTAAGGTTGAACTAATTTGTTTGGCATCGATTTGGCGTTCTCTAAGAATCGATGAAAAATCTCCTCTAATTAAGATCAGATGAAGACCAATGTCTACTTATGGAGAATTAATATTTCACTGAGATCAATTTAAAATATATTTGTCTGCCAAAAACATGTACGTAAAAAAAAGTCGGCTTCCCAATTGATGAATAACATGTGATAGCGAAATAAAAATAAACAAAATATATAATTCTTAGGGCGGCTAGGAGAAGCGATTAAAATCAGTGAAGCGGCGAGAGAAATTCTTTGATTGATTCGAATTTTGAGCATTTTTGGCTTTCGGATTGCATTGAAACGGAAATTAAATTAGCCAAATATTGCAATGCCGATGATTTTTCCAAGAGCCACCTAAAGTATCTTTGTGTGCACACAAGAAAATCCGTTGATATGTACGAGAATTTCTTTTTAAATGCGTAATTTTGTTGTTTTTTGTTTTTCTGTTTTGTTGGGCAATGAAGCGTCGACGCGGCATCATTAATGAAGTGCGAAGCCAATTGCCGCCTTCAACAATTTTAGATACAGGCAGTGAATGTGGTTACTCAGGCTGGCCCAAAGAATATTTAATATTGTATCTGTAGCAATATGGAAGGAAATTTGAACTCGAGCAAGTCAAACATTGGGCATTGCTCATCCCCAAAAGATTTTTCAATATCACTCAAATAAACAAAATTAAACATGTGAACGCAGAGTGCGCGAAGTGTTCGCATTTTTAATGCGCCCTAATTGGAAAAATGTGTTGAAAATATTGACGGCTGTCAAATGTAAATGGTAAGGTGAAAAGTAAAAGTCTGAAAATACATTTTGATGGAATGTAATACCTTAGAGAATAATTAAACATCGCCAATTGAGGAATTCATATTTTTTGGCCAACACATGGCTCTAATCCGCTGTCCGCAGTTAAAAAACCCGTAAAAGTCCAACAATCCTGATGCATTAAATTTTGTATTTTCGATACGAGTTGTTAAAAGATATAGCGAAAGATTTTTTTTAAAGAAATATCCACATTTTTGCACATCACGGCTGAACATTGTTTACGATTTCGGACTTTTAATTGCCAAAGCGGCACACGCTTCGTATGCGCGATGTCTTCTTTGGTGTAATGTGTTTCGGCTATTTTGGACCTGACAAGTGCTTCTAGTGTGCCCTCAAGATGTGTTTTCTCAACACCAATAGCCTAATGTGCAATTAATTATCGCGGGAAATTACAAATGCTTTTTAATTGTGTTCACATTAAGAGCAGAAGGTGCATTGAACCTTTCGAGAACAGAAATCTTACATTTTATCATTATGAGATGCTGAATTCGAAAGTGTAAGATATATTTTTGCTTATAAACATCATAGAAATACCTTTATTTAGGGTTAAAGAAATAAATACGATGTTGGAAATATCTCAATATGCCTAGCTAAATATATAATGGACATTAATTCTTATGTTTAATATATCTTTAGATAATAATTATTCTATTTATATTAGAATTTCTTATTAAAAATATATATATTTTCACAATGCACTTAAGTGGAATGGCCCCAGTGGCTTGGTTTGCTTTATTTCATTCCCATTTGATCTTCCACTGTCCGCATCTTTCGCTTTCTACGCGTTGAGCCGCCGGACAAGGTCGTGCCGTCTGCTGTCGGCGTGAGAAATATTATGGCTAACCAAAAGATACAAAATATACATATATGTGTAGGCATTCCCAATCCCCGCCGAAGATACATCTCCATCCATCTGCGAGAAAGGCGGACTGCACAGGTTTTCTCGACCAACTGTTTCTGTGCTCCGTGCGTTTGTGACGCGCTTTTTGCCATTGACACGCAATAAAAATATGTACTTAAAAACTGTAAGAACTCGTAATGAGCGCAATGAAGATTTGATAAGTTTATAGTACCTCTGATTGTTGTCTGGTGCAAGGCAATACTAATTGCAGGGAATACCTGACCTGAGGTGGAGATGGCCACTGATGGCGGCCACATCTTTTGCAAGAAAGGTCTGGCCAACGGTTTGCGATGATCTAAAATCTGTTCAGTTTGCCAGGAAAACGCAACCAGCCTTATTCGTATTTATATAAACTTAATTGAAAAGGAACTTTACATTATAAAGGCAGCTCAACATTAGATATTTATGCGAATAAAATAAGTCACGTTTTCCCTGCAAAATGGGGAAATTTTTTAACGACTCAAAGCATCAGTCAGTCCTTTCTTACAGAAGGCACGGCAGCCCACGGTGGCCACCTCTGCCTTAGGATATTCCACTCAAACAGGGCACGTGTAGATCCCATTGTTTCCATTGGACAGTTGCTGGACGACGGGTTGCTCCTCATCAGGCATTGTCAAGTCGATGATCCCTTCAGGTTTCCATTCCGTAGACCGACCTACGTTGTCCCTCTATTTTGAATAGCTTCCAGCTTAAGAGACTACACCTGGACGCAGACATTTAAGGACTGTTTTGTAGAGTAAATTATGAGAGACAAATGAATGTCAAATTGAAGTAAAACTCACAGGTAACTTAAAATAAGGGACTGCAAAACAAGGAATCATACAACAAATGTCTTAATAAAAAGAAAGTTACTAGAGAAAGCGCTTTACTGTTTAATATAAAACCTTTTACTATCATATCTTAGTTTTAATAACTTTATTAATACACTTAAAACTTACTTCATGGAATTAAAACTACCATCAAAAGCAGAGGATAAGAAGAGCATTCATATATGGCATTGGAATATTTTTTAAAGAGAAAGGCTTAGTGAAATGCGTGGGAACCACTGTGAACGCTTTCTCCTCTCATCCTCTGTATTCCTGACGAACGAAGAAAGCATTTTTATTTTCATTTGTGAAAATATACGGACGGATATACGTGTGTAGTATTTAATAAATTATTAATTTTGCTACGCTTTAGCCGCTCAAACATCACATGAATCGTCTATTTGGTCGGGCCAATAAATGTCTCTTATATAAATGGAAAATATTTTACGCAGATTGGGCTCTATCTGTGTGGGTAATCGAATGTGGTCTAACATTTTGATTGAACCTCCATATTATTTCCCTAATTAATGTGTCTTTTTAAAGAACATTATTCGATCATGTCTTATTTTGGAACTCGAACGATGTGAGAGCTTATCGAATGCAATCCTCTGGTTATTGATTTTATAATCACTTTAAAGAAGTCAGTTTCCACCAGTTTTCGGATATAGTCTAGACGCGGTGTTTATGTTTATACTAGATACACGTGATGATGTTTTTGCCATTGAGCTTTCCCTGGAAATGTTTTTGTTTTTGTCTCGTCTAGAAAATGTTTTTCCCCCGTTTTTCTTACTTCTTTGGGTGATTTTCGTTTAATTTTATTAAGAACAAAAAACAATTTGAGTGCATGGCATGACATTTTGTTTGTTTACCGAGTGTCTGAGTGCATTCAATTTTGGTTGAAAAATTGCAATGAAAAGTGTGACCACTGTTGTTATAAATTTAACATTTCGAGTCCATGAAAATCCATTGAGTGCCAGCAGCTGTATCTAATCAGTTGAGTTTTTCATAAATTTCAATGCTCTGAAAGTTTTCTAACGCCAGGCCATACATTAATCAATCCCAAATAGGTCAATTTGGAATCCCGCCTATCATTCGAAGAAGGCGACCTGCTGAATTGGAAATTTATTGCCCAATCTTTAGGATAAACAAATCAAATAGCAGACAATTAATCAGCGAACAATTTCCATTCCTAATATCCGCTTCCTGAGAACAAGGAAAACTCTTCTAATACCAATATTTCACTCATCGCAACTTTAAGTTGACGTCAGGTCCTGTTGGCCTAGAGAATTTCCCCACTCAGCTGGCTATGCAAATATTATTATTAGCATTACTTACAATTATTTACGAGCGTTTTGAGTGTTCCGCGAACACATATTACAGACCCACGACCACATGAGAGATATTAAACAGCCATTGTTTAACCCCTAGCCTCCTCCGCAGAATACTTTCGAAACATATTTATTTTCTTTAGTTTTTAAACTGTTTCTCTTTGGCCACCAACCGCCCAATGGCCCACATCGGTTTAAGCTGTATAGCTTACCTTCGGAAGGGGCAAACTTTTAAGATATTATTTATAGGGTCTGCCCAATTGCACATTATTCATTTTTCAACATTCTTCCAAGATTTCTCCGAATCAACCGGGGGCTTGATAAATGATCTTACGCAGGCACTTGCCTTGACCTTACCTTGAAAACTGTCAGCTACATGATTTTTTTACACGACGTGCTCAGTTTTTTCTGGCCATTGGTTTTCATTCATTTTGGTTTGCGCGTAATTACAGATTTGTTCGCCTCACAGGAGCCTATTTATAGGCATTTATTTTCCACGAATATATATACTTACAGATATAATGTGAAATAAAGGCGAGCAAATTAAATAAATCGTAAAGGCGGAACTATTAAAATAAATTATGGAAACTTTGCCGTGGGCGGTGACTTTCGCCACTCACTGTTCAGCCAGAAATGCTCTTTGGCCACAGCTAGCCAGCCGCCTGTCAAGCGCCACTCAGAATGAAGGTGCCTTGGAGAAGGTGCCGGCTTTTGTCAGCCTTTCATCCTGACCTGGCAACCTTTTTTCGGCATCATCAGTTACCACTTGCCACTTGCCACTTGCCACTTGCCACTTACCACCTGCCGCTCGTGCTGGTCATGTGCGCAAATTTCCAAGAGCAGCTGCCTCGGGCTGGTAGTCTTCTAGAGTGCTGCCATATATCAATATCTCGAGGACTGGGGAGGGGCGGAAACACGCCTACTTTTCTAAAAATACACTCCGTGGCCGAAAAGGAAAGGGGAAAGCAATAGCAAATTGAACAGATTTAAACGTGTTTTATAAATACTCGTACAAGAAAATATACAAAATTCGCATCATTCGTATCAAAAGTCATTCGTTCTCTAAGACGTAGGATCCATCCAGACATATAAAAAAGATCTCTTAGTATTATTTATTTAATTTTGGTTTTCGTTGTTTTGCTGTGCACATTAAAAACCTATATATATTTTATTTTATTTCTTTTTTGTTTATTTTGGTTTTTGTTGCCTCTGCTCTGGTTTTGTGGGCGCAGCGGAAATTTTCTTTCAAGTCGTTAATTTTTATTGAATTGTTGTATAATATAATATGTTATATTCTGCTTACGAAAACTTGTTCAACAGGGAGTGAGCAAGTGTTGGACAAGCCTTAAAATAAATATTTGGAAAAACACCTCTTACGTTCCCCGCCGATTCGCGAGTGATAAGATTATTCATTAACATAGTAAAAAATGGTTTCCTTTTACGCTAATTTATAACTTAAATCCTTTTCATATTCATATCTCATTTAATTGCTTCTACTTCTCGGATATAAGCAAGGGTAACATTAATCTTAAACATTAAAATCTCTATGAAAATCAATAGAAGTATTGGCTCTCTTCTTGCGTTTGAAAAAATCCACAAAATTACATTTTGTATATTGTAATAGAACTTTCTTGACCCAATTTCTTGCGTTTGTGTAAACAGTCATTAGGTATACAAAAAAGTGCCGAACACCGAGAGAGATATGAAGAAATTGAATTTTCCTGGGAAATGGAAGCACGGCAACAGATTGTCGTAGGTCCCCCCAACCCTATGAACACAGCACGTAAAAGCCATTCCGACTTTTTCAAGTTGGCGTAGGTCCTGGAAATCAACTTAAGTTTTCCACCCACATCAAAGAGGGGGCACTGATTGGGCAATCAGTTTGGATCAATTGTTTAAAATACTCGATTAGGAGGGGCTGGTGAGCGTAAAAGAGGGGGATTGGCCGGTCGATGGTCTCTGGTCTCTGGTCTCAGTCCCTAGACTCTGGTCTCTCGTCTCCAGACTGCCGGTGCCGATGCCCTGCCCTACCCCAGGCTGCCCGGGCAATTCATCATGGCTGGCTGGCTGGATGGCGCTGGTCTAAAAGTGTTTGCATTTATTTTGTAATAATAGGAAACTTACAATCCAATGGAGACCCAGAGGCAGCCTCGTTGGCCTGTGAGTGGGGCTATATCTGTGCCTGTATGTGGCACGCCGACCGACAACGACTTGCCGATTGACGTCAGCAATGCCCCCAAAGTCGCGCACAGTGTCGGGCGGGTTGCCAAGCAGGCGGGAGAACCGGGACACAAATCGCTGTTGGACTGACTGGCGGAGGAGGAGACCGTGGTGGACGGGGCGCACGGGTGCGAGTATGGCAGCCGAAACGGCATTTTGTCAGTCACTCATACGAGAGTTGGATGCTGCCTGCTGGCGAATCTCTTCTGCGCGGTGGCCAAGGCGAGCATATCGATTCTCTGGAAGCCCTCGAGTGCTCCTTAAAAGCTTTGGAGGCGGGAATATCATTAAAAAATAAATATTCAAAGAAAGATGTTTCTTAAGAAAATCAATACAATTACCATTTCTTTTGAATCTATTCTGTCAAAGCCTTACGATATGGATTTATCAGAATGGAAGTCAACTTTTAAGAAGCTTAAAGTTGGAGTTTTCATCTTGTAGAGTTATTTAAGAACGTCTAAACTTCTTATAAACCTATGTTTATGCCTTTGAAGGTATTCTAAACATATTTAAGTTTTTATTGGATATAAATTAATGATTTACAATAAGTTAATACAAACTTTAATATTTGAAATGTACACCCTTGGAGTGCATCTGCTGTTCGACTATCGTGATGACCAAAAATATTCTTCTATCGCCAAAAAAATGTTTTTCCTTTGGCAGGTCGAGTCTCCTGGCGGCTTTGTTGCAATTGCATTTCACATTTCACATTTCACTTGGGCCGACCGGTCCACAGGGGTGTTTGTTTATTTTGAGCCACTGTTTACACGACTCCCCTTGGCTGAGGCCGCGAAGGCAGATGATTTTCACGGATATTCTGACTTCCATGTTATATATTTAGCCCGACGAGATGCATCTTTGAGAATGCCTGCTGACCCTTTTTTGGCTCATTTGTTTGGTCTGCTATTTTTGGCAAGCCAAGTGTTTCGACCGCAATTGAGAATATCAAGATGAAATGGCCATATCATTTGAATTGAGTGTGCCAGGATGTGTGAGGAGGGGGAGGGGCATTCTAATGAGAAAAAAGTGAAAGTTTGATTTATGGCCACACGCAAGTCGCTGGGGCTCTTGAACGTCTGCTTGATAGTTTCCAACGATTTATAATTAGTTTCCCCTTAACTTGTAGCTGGCCAACAAGTTTGTGTTGTTTAGGGATCTGTCTCTGCGGTTGGGCACTACCCACCTCTGGCCACAAGCCAATCACTTCTGGAACGGAAATAGAAATTGCCTGGGAAAGAAACTGAAAAGAACCGCCTAAAACTTTGACTTGTGGCTGCCAAATTTACTCTTCAAACTGATGGCACTTTTTTCCGGGGGTTAATGGGCTCAACGAAGAGTCATGTTTGCTTTTTATATTAGTCAGTGCTTCCAGAAGTTATGCTATGGAATAAAAAACCATGATGGATATATGAACCTAAGCTAAAAAGTATGATAAAACATATAAATAAACGAAAGTTCAAAGACTAGTCTCAACGAGCAGACAGACAGGCGTGGATAGTAGTGGATCAAGAATATAGAAGAATAAGTACTTAAGTACATAAATTTTAAAAGTTACTCCACATATTAAACAGCACTTTTTGTTTTTGATAATCACATATTCTTAATTTACTGTATTCAAACCCCTTAAAATATATCTTAAAAATACGATTAACCAAGCCATAACCATAAGTTTAGGACTTATTAATTATCGCTAAACTGCTTACATATGCGGAGAACGTATTTGTCACGTTTCTGTCCCACATAGATTTGCGAAATTAAGCAGATCATTTAATATCGTATATCAACAAAATTTTACAAGCTGTCCCGTAACCATTTATATTTTATGCCCATGGCATCCTCCACCTTGAGAAGCGTTCGTAAAGATTTCGACCAAAAATGCATTTCTCGCATGCCAGAGCTTTAAGTATTTTCCTTTTGAGTCTGCTAGTAATTTGTCTTAAGAGGAAATATTTTTGAATAGATGTAATTACCAATTCACCAGTCCGCCGTCCTCCCAGTGACACCGAATGAAATACGAGCAAGAGGCCAGATTTTGATCGTTGAGTTTAGATGAAAATTTAGTGTCAAAAACGATTCGCGAGAAAATTGTGAGAATCACATCACGCCCTATAAATGTTTTGCTTGAATATGATTTGGCTCGCCTGGTGTGATTTTCCAGCTAACGCATTCTATAGATGCCTGTCTCGCTGTGTCCCATTCGGCTGCAAATCAAATGATTTTCCGCGATTTCCCTGGCTATAAATGCCATCAGCGAACGGAGGTAGGAGTGCTGGGGCTGGCACTACGCAGATTGCGGATTCCAAAAATCGGAGCAATCGTCAGTCAGTGACTAACTGCTGACGTCTTTGCTGCGCGGCCCCTATATAACTCATAGTGAAGACAGCCCGGCCCACCCCGCCGATCTACGCAAATTCTGCACTAACTTTGTCACAGACAATTTGGCGACAACATCGTCTTTTTCACTGGCTTGGGCGTGGGCGTGGGTGATTCCTCCTCCTTCTCCTTCCACAACCCCTTCGATATGGGAGGGCTGTAAAACGCTTTTCTATGTTCTGCTGGTGGATAAATTAATAATTCGCATTGTGGAACAACAAATGGACACATAAAAGCAACCGAAGCAGCACATCAAACGCTGGCCATAAATCATAACGAACAAAACAACCAAAAATAAATCCAATTAAAGAAGCTCAAAGTGACACTAGATGGTGGGTTCTACGTGGTTTCTGGTTGTGGTGTTTGAGGTGTGAACAGGTGGAAGAGGTGTTGCCATGGGCAGGGTCAATGCTAATAATATTTTCATATGCAGCTGAAATCGATTTTTCTTTTTTCGTCTCCATAACCTTGAGGTTTGTTTACTTTCTTAGTTACTTTACCAAAAAGGTCAAAGGGAATTTTATCTCAGAATAGTCAAAATCTGTTCAAGGGTTATGATAGTGGCTTAAGTATCTTTAGTATTACACTAAGCTTAATCTTGATTTTTTAAATCTAAAATCTAACTTTTATTATTTATTTGATCTTTCAGAGAAACGCTCATTCTCCTTCCGGCTGCGCCGCTCCTTCGGCGACGGCGGCAGCACAAACAGCCGCAACAGCAACAACAACAGCAGCACCTGCACCAACCACAACAACCAAAAGCGCTGCAGCACTCCGTTGACGCCGACCAGCACCAGCACCGGGCGACTGGAGGTGCCGGGAGCGGCCTCCGTCAGCCGTCGGAGCAGCATCTACAAGAAGCCAGACAAGAACGATGGCGGTCAGATCCACCTCATTCCGGACGTGGAACTCCCTTTGATGACCTTTGCTGATCAGTACAATATCGAGAAGACACTGGCCGAGGGATGCTTCGCCAAGATCCTGCTGTGCAGGCACAGACCGACCAGCACTTTGGTGGTCCTGAAGGCGGTGCATGCCGAGTTGACCACGATCAAGGAGTTCCAGAAGGAGTTCCACTACAACTACGAGCTGTCGCACCACCACCACATCCTAAGCGCCTATGCGGTGGCTTTCCAGACAATGGACTACTACGTGTTCGCTATGGAGCACGCTCCCTACGGAGATCTGGCCTCGAACATCGGACCCAATGGTCTGCACGAGAACGCCTGCAAGTTGATCTCCGAGCAGCTCAGCTCTGCCCTCGGATTCATGCACTCCAAGAGCCTGGTGCATCGTGATCTGAAGATCGAGAACATTCTGGTATTCACGCCGGACTTCACGCGTGTGAAGCTGTGCGACTTCGGAGCCACCACGAAGAAGGGTTTGCTGGTGCACAAGGTGAAGCACACGTGGACCAGCTGTGTGCCGCCGGAGCAGCTGGAACTGATCAAGAACGAACGGTTCCAGTGCCTCCCCGTCAGCGATTCCTGGCAGTTTGGCATCCTGCTGTACAACATCCTCACCGGTAATCCACCCTGGCAATCCGCGGACTGGGTGAAGGATCAGTCGTATGCGAACTTCATGAAATACGAACAGCGTAAGACGACCAAAGTGCCGGACAACTTTAGGCGCTTCTCGCCACGTCTTATGCGCTGTTTCCGAAAGTATCTGAGCCACGATCCCGAGGACCGCTGCAAGATCACTGAGGTGGCCAAGTACATGAAAGACCGCTGGGTGGAGTGCCGCATCTCCACCTCTAAGTCGGCCACGCTCATCTCGCCCACCAACCACGACCAGGACTCCTGCATCTACCTCAACCAGCGGGAGGGTCGTCTATCCGGGGATGAGAACAAGCTGCGCTTTAAGCGGATGATGTCCACCTATGGTCTGGACATCCCCATCGATCAGGCGATGGTGCGACGGCGGGTCTGGGACTGGCTTTCCACTTGCGATGCCAACTTTGATCCGGACGTGGAGAGTCTGCATGCTCTGGATCTAATGCAGTAGAGTATGATGGTTCTATTCCTTGAAGTTCTTCAAGAGGTTTGAATAACAAATCAAAATGAAAGAATAATGGACCTTATAGATACACCTCCGGAATTTTCGAAAGATTTTTGAAAACTTAACCCGTAGGATTTATACGGTTCAAAGTTAATAGAGATAAAATCAATGTGTATATAGACCGATATCGCTCAATAGGAGAGCGGAACAGGGTTGAATATCAACATCCCAAACGGAAACTGTTAGAATTTGTGGATCTATAAGATCGTTTTTGTAGAGCAGAGAAGCCACCCCTCGATGGGTTTTTCTGTTGTTCTGCGAGTGCAAAATCCCAGAACTGAAATTAATATAATTTTATATAGATGCAATTTGGTATAGCTAAGTAGTAAGAATTTGTAGGATAATGAAACCCAGTTTGAGAAAAAACAACACGTCTACGGATAACTTTCCAGTAGTGTTACCTTTCTAGTCTTCCGCTACGATGATTTTCTATATACTATATACTCTCTATATATTATATTATATATGTACTTAGTCTTAGGGTTATCTTTATGAGTGTACTATAATGTGTGATTTACGCGTTACTTACTTTATGTGTACGGGTTACAAACTAATGCAATTATCTAGACCTAGACTTTAAAGAGATTTAAGGAGTGCTCCTGATGCATTCACGACCAATTATTAGACGACTAAGGTTTGTTTTATATTTATAATAGACTATATAAATATATATATATGTATTTATGTACCTACCCCTACTATGACCCATTGATGTGTAGATGCCATTTGTGAGTATCAAAAGATTTGTAAATACTATTTAATTGCAAACGACTTTTAAAGTATATTTATGGTATATGTTAATACCCTGTGTGTACACCTACGAAATGCTAAAAATATAGAACCGACAACTGAGTTTATTTAAAAACGAATTGTTTTAATATTATATAACTGGCGATATCCAGTTTGGCTTCCACATGTTCATTAAAGATTTTGGCAACCGAAATCCTCTAAACAAATCGTCCGATAATACCATCGGGGGAATAAGATTTCTAGAGAAGCCACCTACAACTAATCGTAAATATTTATTATTTGAATTTAAATCATTTATTGTTGTTTATCCATCCTGCTGATGGCTTTCCACGCAGACCGATCAACTGTTTGGCTAATTACCTTGTGAAGGTCGCCTGGCCAGCCAGGTGATTTTCTTCGGATGCTTCGACATTGAATGTCACGGTTCCCATCGGGGCCAAATGGAGGAGAAGCCGGTGGAAAACAATCTAGCGGTTGTTTGTGCATTCCTCGTTGTTTGCAGTGGACAACAGGATGTGACGCCCCTGCCCGTAATTCTGTCTCTAATAAACAAGCGCTAAGGTTAATTCAACAAAGGTGAGGTTACGCCGTGTGTGTGCTGGGTGGGCGGACATATTGTTTGCCTTACGCACTCTCTGCTTCCCCTACAAAACGCTATTAATTGTATAATTCAGGCTCCCACACGATCGATTCGCCAATTGATTGATTAATGCCTACGGTTAACCTGTAATTAACTTGACCGCCTAAGGTCAATGTCGTTTCACCTTGGCTTTGTTTTTTTTTTTTATAAAGCATCCGAATTGAAGACATTATTTTACGAGGCGCATGCCAACACTTAAATGTGTTTAATGACCGAGCAAAGAGCGTGCTATAATGTTGGCTAGACGAAGAATGCGAAAGTTTTTTATGTTTTTAATACCTGAAATTAAGAAAATGTTTAAATTTTTGAAATTTTTGTAGGTAGGTTAAGATCTCTGCTTGTTTTGAACCTATCTTAAGAATATCCTTCTAGACATGGCTTTTTGAGTGATTTTTAAATTCGTCTTTTAGCTTACGTTGATGAACTTTACTAGAAAGTAATAACTCAACAGTAATCTTTTTAACAGTTAATAATCATAATCATAAATTTTTATTGTATTTATCACTTGAGTTTTCAACCTTGGTATCAAACATTTTGGTATAAATTATATTAATTTATTTCGATTTCCAACGAATTAATAAATACGATGATTCCCAAGTGAATATGCTGCGGCGATTAGTCTAATGCTCGACCGCTGTCCACGTGAAAAAGGAATAAATACCTTAACCACCGAACAGACTGGATGAACATAAATAACACGGGCCATGTGATGCGGCATATTTCCATGCCACGCGCATCGAATCCGTGAACTAAAAACCGCACATGCGAATAGTGCAGTCGGGTATCGAGTTCAAAGTGAAGCGTCTAGGACGATGAGATCGTTTATGGATCAATAAATATACAATTTATCCCATTTAATTAGTTGTTATTGGTGTAAAACTGTCCGAATATCAAAACATGTTGTGCCGCGCGCATAAATTCATTTCAATCGCTCCCAAAATAGGTTTTTACGATACCACCGCCAGCGCCCCTCGCCTCATCACGTTCTCCTGGTGTCCACGAGTAACTTGGACCCGTCGCGTCGCTGAATTTGAATTTGAATATCCCCCACTTACTGCTGTGGTTCTTGTTATTGTGCCCGTTCTTTTTCTCGCGGGACATAATTTATGGGTCGCATTTGCCTTTTTGGCAATATCGCAAACGGTCAAGGGGAAGAATATATTTCTCTGTGGACTTACGACTTTCGCTTTACTCACAGCTATCATTTGCTGTGACAAATCAGGCCAGCTCAAAAGTATACTATAATTTTGGGAATTATATATTCGAGAACTTGCCTTGGTCAACGCCCACTTTGTGGATGGATAATTTACTAACATATTGTTTGATGGTTGCGCTCAATCTTTCATCTCTACTCTACTTTCATTTGAAAATCATTTCCCATCGCACCATCTGAATAGTGTTATTCACAGGCTGAAAAGCGATAAATAAATATAGAAACGATTGCATTGGATTTTCACATATTCTGTTTATTGGTTGCACTCTGTTCCACGTGCCGGTTTCTGGTCTGTTGTTTTCCATCTCTTAGTAACTAAACACAATGGGAAGGGATTCCGGATGGATGGGATGTACGATGAATAGGCGCCGATGAAGGTGTTTACATACATGCCATGTCTAATGTCTAACGAACTTAGGTTTGTTTTGGTTGTTGGTAGGTCTATAAAAATGTCTATAAAAGTGCTTGCCATAAATCATAAAAATGAATGAAGAATTGCAGGAGTCGACCGCTTCCATAAAATCACTTGCTCTGCTCCTGATCATGCCGATTTCAGTGGAATATGCTGTTTGATTACCTATAAGTAAGAACAAGATTGAGAGATGGGTACATTTATAAACATTTCGCTGTTCAACCGCGAAAACTGTTTACAATTAAATAATAATAAAACGAATATCAATTAAGACGCGTGTGAAATACGTCAGACGGCATCCAAATTTAGTTAGCTGCTAAACGATCCAATTTTCTTTATTTGGTTTTTTCCGCCTCCGAATCAATCGGCGTGGGCGGTCAATGATTCACCCGGCGAAAACAAATCGCCTCCGACTGTAGAAAACTCGATTTCCGCGTACAGAAACCCGATAAATGCAAAAACCAAATCATGCCAAGCAAATAAAAGGAAACCAATAAAGCGATCAACTGATGAAAGCCAGAACGAACCTCGGAGCACATGGTCTTATAGATCTCATCGGTGTCCCAGGGTCCTCGCTCTGGCAGGGCAATGCCACGCCTTCGTAACTCCTGGACGCAGTCTGTCAAATCAAAGATGGGCAACGGATCGATGCCGGCCTTGGCAACCTTGCCAGCCAAATACTCTACGTAGTGGGTGCTAAAATAACATTGACATAGAGAGGAACATATATTAGGTATAAACTATTTCCTGAGCTGTAAAATAACTGGGAAACAAAATAACTAGAAGGTTTTTATTAATATGGCTGCTTTAAAATACTTTAAGAATTTCTTTCTGTTGGGGATCTTTGAAGTTTGTAGCGCTGGTAAATAATATAAGAATTTATGATAAGACGGTAGGATTACGTCCGCTTCCTCGAGTATTAGAATAAAAAAAGCTTATTCGCGTAGTTACCTGCTAACTTTACATACATATCTAACATCCGGACTTAAAACTATCGATTCTTTTGGTTCGGCGTTGCCAGATGCCGCGGGAGCAGTTCACTATCTAACGCCGGTCTTAAAGTAGGAGTTTAACTTTTTTTTTACTTTTTAACTAATTTAAAAACACTAGGAAGAAATTTTCTTCAACTTACCGACACATTCCAGCGTGCTTGTCTGGCACTTCAGTATTGCATACTGTGTCTACCAGTCCCTGTGGCGTCTCCTTTTGCAGCGGGATCGGACAGCGGGCCTGGGCACGGGCTTTAGATGAACTGCTGGACTCGTCCTTGAACTGTATAGGCTCCGTGTCGAACTTGACCTTCTGCTCCTTGAGAAGAAATTGCAACTGCAGGGGGATTTTGTCCCTCAGGTAGAAGAGACAATTCCGCGGGTGATGCGCATGTAGGCCGAGCTTGGCGCAGTACGAGGACACCGTGCACTTGGCACCCATCATGAAGGGTCGAGCACAGCCGTAGCAGAACTCGAACTTGCACTGGGTACACGTGAAATGCATGCAACCGCCCCTATGGAAATAAGCAATATTTTAATAGTAGTTTTAAAATACCTTTTGAGAATATGTCTGAGGGAATATATATCTCAACTAACCTGGCCAGTGAGTAGCGGAACTTGCACTTGGGACAGTCGATGCCATTTTGGGCCAAATGCTCTTGGACGCCCTGTGCCTGCAACTCGGGATCGTTTTCTCGCTTCCATTCCAGGTACGCCTCACAGCTGCTGCCCTCGTGTTGCCGCTCCCAGGGTTTCCGGCATTGAGCACATGTGACGGATCCACAGTCCGGACAGATAAGTCGCTTTTGCTTGGGTCGAGCGAAGAATCCAGAGGAGCATTGGATGCACCACTTGAAGTTGGGGTCCTGCAGCAGTGTGCGATCGCGCAACTTGCGCTGAAACAGCTCGTGCACGTCGCCGTCCAGAATGCTCTTCAGGAAGATGTCCAGGTTTGAGAAATACTCCAGGTGCTCATCCTCATGCTGAGACTCGTTGCTCAGTTCGGGAAGCTTGCAGAACGGGCAACTACAATCGTTGATACTGCGATCGGTTATCTGAAAACAAAAGTTCAGTTATTTCAGATGGTGATGCAGCTTGATATTTTCGTAAGGGTTTCGAATCGTGAATCAACCGTCATTCTTTGGTGCAAAAGTACTTAAGATACTTTAATAAAATTGTTCACTTTCATCACTCACCTGCACTGTGAAGTAGCTCTTGGCACATTGCTTGCAGCACTTGTGGAGGCACTTTAACATGGACACGATCTGATTCATGGGAAAACTGTTCATGCAGAGCTCACACTCCTGCTGGAGCATTGCAATGGCCTGATCCAGATCCGAGCACTCCCTGGCAGCCCACAAAGGCCACATCTTCTGAGAACTTCATGTTCACCAAGGTGGCGGCTATCTGAGCTTCAGCTATGTTGGTCACCAGTTCCTGATCGACGTACTTGCGGGCCAGGATCTAAAAGTGTAGAACAAACAAATCCAGATGTTCATAGAACTTGCTTGGGTACATCTCGACTTGTACACACCGCTGGGTCCTCAATAATCGGCTCTTGAACACTAGGATAGGCCCGGAAGACGGGCATACTCAGCTTACGCTTTAGCAGTTCTGCTTTCAGGGGTTCGGCCATGTCTGGGTCCTCCTGCTCCTCTTCCGTAGCCGAGGTCTCGTAGTCGTCGTCAGAGAAGCAGGTCTCATGGTACTTCTTCTTGGGAATTCGGGGCTGGGATCGGGGTTTCAATAATGCCGCTGCAGCTGCAGCTGCGGCTCCACTGGTGCTGGGTCCATCGGCCTGATTTGAGTTGAACCTGCTAATGGCATCGTTGATGGACTTCTTGGTGGTCGGGCTGCTCTTAAGCGGCACTCGACTAGCCACTGTCGATGAGGTCTGCTTCTGGAGGTAGACCTCCTGGATACGCTTCACCGACGAAATGCCCATTGGTGCCGAGAAGGACTTGGAGCGCAGCGGCACCTTCTTGTTCAGGGGGGTGCTACTCGCATTGTTAGTGGGTTCATTGGTGGGCTTGGGGATCTTACTGACTGTGGACTTGGCTGTTTTGGACGTGTTTGATGTGGTGGAATCTTTGGAGGCAGTTCCGCTGTTTGCAGTTTTGCTTTTCATGCTCGGAGTTACCTTTTTGGGCTCTTCCAGTACCGTCTCGACGGGCAGCTCCACGGGTCGGGATTCGGAATCTACAATGGGTGGTGCGGGTGTTATAGGCAAGGCAGTGGGTTCTTCAACGGGTTCCAAATCAATGGGAGGCTCAGCTTCTTGGGGGATTTCCAGGATAAGCTCTACAGGTTGTTCCGGAGGTCGAGTTTCTGAGTCTGTTATGATTGGAGGAGGTTCAATGGGTAGAGATTCCACTTTTGGCTCCTCTTGTATTATCTGAGGGGGCGAGATCAACTCCACTTCATGATTTTCCGGTTCAGGCTCCAGGGTCCTTCCTGTGGAGGATTCAATCTCAGTGTGTGCGATTTGATCAGATTCCTGGTTGGTGGGCGTGACTGATAGAGCAGGCGATATGACTGGTTTAATGTCTTGAGCGATATTTATGGGTTCTGCCTCGTCCTCATCAGCCATATCTTCATCCTCCTCCATGATGTCTTCGATTTCGGTACCTTCATCACCGGTTGAGGCCTCTTCTATATAGGAGGGATGCTCGTTGTAAGTGTTGCCCTCCTCCCCATCAAAGTCTCCCTCCTCCTCCTCCTCGCTGTCGTACCACTCCTCCTCCTCACCATCGTCATATTCATCCGAGTATTCGTCAGAGTATTCATCCTCATCGGTGGACTCGAACTCATCCATACTAATCTCATCGCGCATTTGTTTGATCAACCGTTGAGTGTCCTCAACCAGTTCGCTGAGGTTCTGTTTGGCCGGGTCACCGGAAGGAACAAATTCCTTCAGCACCACTTTGGACGTCTCCGATTCCGATTCGGAGCCAATACTGGCGTTGCTGCTGGTCCTGGCTATAGAAGATTCCAGCTGGGATTCCTCATCCAGTAAGAGTAACACTTGGTTCTCCGGCGATTTTGTTTCTGCCCGCTGGCCATCGCTATCAAGGCTATATAGCTCTGCATCGGAAGCGGCTTCATCATGGGGTCGTGTACCCTCGCTGCTGCTGAATTCGGGGGCATCCTCGAACACCTCGTCGGAGTCTGTGGGAGAAACAGCTACAGCGGTTACAGTAGGGCTGTGGACTTCAGGTTCTAAATTCAATGGTTGGACAACATCTTCGGAGACACTGATAGGTTCCTTTTCAGACTCCTGTTCTTGGCTAACTAGAACATCATCCGTTGTGGCTGGCTCTATTTTGGTACGATGGCTCTTCAGATGTTTCACTGTCCTCAATCGCAGTCTCTTCCCTTTCAATTTCTTCTGTCGCTGTTGGAGTTTGGTTGCTGGCCCTACTCTCACTTCGGAGACTGTTGCTGCTCAGGGTCCTTACGGGAATCTTTGAAAAGCGTTTGGGACTTCGTTTCTGGTCATTGGTTGCTGATGAAGTACTAGGCACTGTTTCGATATTTTCTTTGTCAGAGCTTCATCTGTCGCTGGTGATTGAGAGGTTGTGGAAGGGATAGTTTCTGAAGATACTTCTTCTGCTGTGAGCTCATTACTTGGTGGGGAAATACTTTCTATAGTCGAATTATCTAGGGGCTGTGTGTCAGCTTCTGTTATATCCGTTAAGCTAGGAGGCTTATCCAAACGTTGAGACTCTTCAGATTGTTCTGCATTTAAAGTATTGTTTGGTGGAGATACATGATCTGTACTTGATTCCCCTTGAGAATTTATATTTGTTTCATGTACTTCACTAAGACCATCAGATTCAGAGATCTCTTGGACCCCTTCCGGTTGCTTTGCAAAAGCCTCAACCGCACTTTGTATGACTTTATTTTCCGAAACATTTTCGGATTGTTCGGGGATAAGGTACATTACCATTTTTATCTGTTTGGGAAGTACCTAAACTTTGCTCCGGTAGAGTAGGGTCTACCAACACGTTTTCTCTACTCTCTGATCGAACCTCGATTTCAGGGGCTGTGACAGTTTTAGCTTCAGTTGCATTTTCAACTTTCTGAGAGATAGCGGAAGGAGAAATTGTTTCTTTGACAGCTTCTATTTCCTTAGTTTCTTTTTCATCAATTACATCAACTGGTGTAATGCTTGCTTTTTGTACTTCTTTGGCTTCATTTACTTTCTGATCGATATCTTTAGGAAGTCTTGTGCGGTTGGTTGGTTTTTGGCTTTGATCCCGTGATCTACCCTTTTTCGACTGCTGGGATCTCTTATTTCTTCGGTTGGCGTCTCTGCTTGTGCTTGGCTGGTCATCGATTTGGGTCTGTGATTCCGATACATTCGGCTGAGTACTCAGATTGTTATCGATTGATTTCTGTTTTTCGTTTTCCACTTCTGGCTGAGCGATTTCCTTATTACTAACCTCCTTTTCAACAGTTTGGGTTGTCGTTTCTAGTTTTGTTTCTTCGGTATTTTCAGTCTTCGAGGTTTCTTTGGCAGGTTCTTCCTGTGTTTTGGTTGCGAACTTTTGGTTCGAACTTTGAATATTAGCTACCTCTTCAGGCTCTATTTTAACTTCCTCTTTTGGAGCCATGTAGCTTTTGTATACTATCCGTTCAGCATCCTTAAGATCAGTGCTTTCCCACTCCGCTTCGTGCAACCGTTCAGAGCCACGATCAAACTCCAACTTGAAGTTGGCTATTTCGGTGGCATAGATAAAACTTGGTGGGAGCTCTTCGCGTATGCTAGCTTCTTTCAAATTAGGCTTGATGACTTCCTCCATGATGTACACTGCAGGATCGACACTGGGTGTGGGCTCCGGTTCAGGAACAACTTCTGGTTCAGGTTCCTTTGGCTGGGCTTCCTCAACTTTGACTTCTACCTCCGGCTTCTCCATAAGCTCTTGCTCAACCTGTTGCACCAAGTTGGGAACAATATCCTGAATGTGCTGCCACACAAAGTTCTTTACATCCTCCGAGGACTTATCCTCTACAGGAGGTCCCGAAGGTTTCAGCGTGCTAATAGGGCTCTTTGTGAGAATTCGCATTATTTCTGGATCCGTTTCGTACTCCAACTCTGGCTTGCCCTTGAATGTGTCCAGCATGGTTTCTATGGATCGCAGGACCTCCTGGTTCTGCTTAGCCTGATTCTGTTCCATGTTGCCGATCAGTATTTCCAGGTTCTTTAATGTACTGTCCTCCAACTGATAAGGACTAGGTGTGGCATAGGTGGACTTAACAGGGCTGTCGTCTGTTCTAAGTTGGTCAAAGGGATTGGCTTGGGCGGGACTGGGACTCTCTCCTGCCAATGGAGGCTGCAGGCAGTCCAAGGCATGAGTATTCAAGAAGTCATGGATATCTGTATTGGCAAATGAATGCGGGGAGAGAGAGAAGATGGGACATTATGGCATTGCGATTGACGGATGCACGATCTACAAACTAACCCGACTTGGTGTCTATGGTCGCGCCACTCTCATTCTCAACGCCATTCGGCGAGCCCCAGATGCGCATTAGAAATGGCTTGAGTTGCGTGCGATTCAGCTCCACCAGCGCCTGCTCCACATTACCTTGGTGCGCGGTCAGCGCATTCACGATGTCGTCCCGCAGGAAATTCCCCTTCGACGCCAGTTTCCTGTACTTCTGCTGCCTCTGCTGGATGCAGTCCGCCACTGCTTGCCAAACATTTCCTCCGGAATTCCGCAGTGCCTCCCGGGCCTCGTTTTGGGATACGGTTCCAATAGTGTTTTCACCTCTTTCCTGACCATACTTGGTGGACAAGCTCTGCACCGTCTGCACCAGCTTGTGCCAGTTCTCGCGCAGCCACTGAATGGGATGCGTGTCGGAGGAGCAGTACTTTAAGGCAGCTTCCAGTTCCTCCACAGTGAACTTGTACAGCTCCAGCTCCTTTAGGATGATGTGCATTTCCGTTTCCGGATCTCGAGCTGGTTCGTGCTTCACGCCGAATGACTCATGGGGCATGTCGAAGGGTGAAGAGGTTTGCTGAAATAAAAAGATCAAATTTATGGGCTTAGATATTCCCAATACTAAAATTCACAGCAACTTACGTGTTGCAGCATGCGAAGCTCGTTTATGAAGTTGGGTCGCTTGGTGACCAGACCGGCACTGTAAGGATCCAATCCAAAGCCATCGTGGTACCTCAGGTCATTGGCACTCCTATATCGTTCATTTTCCTGCGGCAGCTGGGAATTGCTGCGATAGTGCGGACGCCGCTCCATCTGATTTGCTTCTGGGGTTCTGAAGTGATCTGGCACAGCTGCCGGAGTCTCCTCGGGCTTTGAGTTAAAGGGCAGGGCGTCGTAGGTCTGCAATTACCAGTAAATTTATCCTATATTCAGATCAACTATATCTCACTAATTTACTTGTGTGGAAATGCTTTGAGGCGGTGGCGATGTTCCCATTTCCACGGCCGCAATTTCCCGTGGCGGAGTACCACCACAGCCCGTGGATACCTTCTGGGCCTTCTTGAGTACCTTCTCCGCCTGCGCCTGAATGCTCTCATCCAGAGTATTCCAAATGTTTTCAACGGAGTCTGGAACGATACGGATGAGAGCATTAGCTTTGGGGGTAAGGGTTCGGGGTCACCAATGGATTCAAATTAAACAAACTAAATGCGGCTTGGGTTGTGGTTCTGTTCTGTATTTGGTTTCCATAAATGCGTTAATCGTAGGCTTACAGTTGATGGCTCATATTAGTGTACTAACTAGGTATAGTCTTTGGCGGCTGGTCTAGGCTTTGGTGCCTTCGAAAAATGAGATTCTCTTTTGTATCCTACCTTTATGCAATAGGCTCTTGGCCAGCGAGTTGTCGGATTCGTTCTCCGAAGAAGTTTTCAGTGTAGACTTTTGCGGTGTCTTGACGGGAATACCCGAGGTGTTCTTGGAGCTGACAGTTGGTGTACTCTTTGAGCTCGTCGTACTGGTGGTATGGGTAGTCTTGGTAGACGCAGTTGTTGTTTTCTGACTTGGCTGCTTGATTTTTGACTGAAGGCTTTTGAGCGATTTCCGGTTTGGGGGTCACTTTAACGTTACTGGCCTTTCCAGCTGGTGGCTGTGGGCTTTCTTCCACCTTTTTAGCCTTGTTGGGCTGCGCTGGAGGTTTGCTTGGAGTCTTACAGCATATGGAGCAGATCTTGATGTTGGGCTCATTCACAAAAGTGCAGAACTCGCATTCCCATTCATGGTCTGGGGTAGAAGGCGGTGGGCCCAGGTCATCGGCCTCAATCTCATCAGGGACCTCCTGGGGATCGGGTTCTGGTCGGATCTTCGGCCTCACTCTCCGAGGCGGTAACCTCTTCAACCACTTCCTCATATTCCGAGGCACTATCCTCTTTAGCAGCTGTCACCACTTTTTGCACCACCGCCGCAGCCTGTGTGTTCTCGTCCTTCATTTCCGGTTTACGTTTTTGCTCTACCTTTTTTGAGGATTTGTGCTGATCGGCTTCCTGGAGCTTCTGCTGGATCTTGGCTTGAACCAGGGCCCGAGCACCCGATCCCTCGGATTCCAAATCAGAGTAAATGCGACTGGTTCTGGCCGAGTCTGTAGCTGGTTTGTTTCTGGTCAGTGTGCCATCATTGTCCCGCCTCTCAGGCAGCCACTCGCTCTGCACGGACTTAGCAATGGATCCTCGTCGATCCCGCATCTTGTGCTGCCTCATTCCATGCCTCTGATCTCCATCCAACTCATCGTTAGCTATTAGCTGTGATGCACTGGACAGACGCCTTTGGCGGGGCTGATGGTGATTCTGGTGGGAACGCGAAGCACTGGTCATGCCCGAGCGATTGGAGACCAAAGACCTTCTGTCATCCTGGTCAGAGTCCTCGTCATCTGTTAGTTCGTCATCCACGTAACTGTTCCTCTTTCGACGCAAGGACATGGATTTGCGACTGGGCGTTGGGGATGCGGCATATCGGGAACGTGAGGCAGCTCTGGAGGCAGCCGAAGGTGGCATTCCCATGACACCTGGGTAAGGAAAACACTTTGAAACACCGTTTGTTTATGTAAAGTTGTATTTTGTTCTACCTGGATGCATCATTGGATAGCCGGGTGCGCCAGGATACATGTTGGGCATCATTCCGCGCTGGGTCATAAACACCGGTGGCGGATAGTGCGGATGATGCGGTTGTGACATGTAACCCGGTCCCACATTGAGAGACAGGTTGGAGTTGTTAAACCGCTGCTGTGACCCAAACTGTGACCACTGGTCGGGATGCTGGTGCTGCGCATGCTGGTGGTGCGGATGTTGCGGCCAGCCAGGATGCTGCTGACTTTGTTGACATCCGGCGCAGTTTAGTTGCGCCAGGGATTGAGCCTGCAACAGAAAGTTGCAAACATAAAATCATTATTTCACGTAGTTATTTGGTAAATATGAGGCTGAATATATTGAGATGTTTAAAAGCCCATTAAGAAACCCTTTATGATGAATGAATCAAAAAGAAATCTTATGCAATGGTAGATATTAAGCTCACCTGTTGGATCCGCTGATTGGCCAGCCAGGCACTGCCGTTCTGGGTTTCCGCCAAGGGTCGACGGGGATTGGTGTTCAGGTTGAACACTGAGGTGCTCATCTGCCGCCTCTGGGCGCCAGCCGCCTGTCGTTGTTGGAGCAGCAAGGAATTGTGAAATTGAGAGTCATCCGAGAGATCGAAATGGGATGAGTTCAAACCGGATGACATGCTGCCGGAACGAAAATGCGAGGGCGATGGTGAAATGTTTGACCAGTGCTCGAAGCCGGCTCCATTCGACAAATGCTGCGGTGGGGAAATGACCAACGAGAAACAGAAAAAGAGAGAGAGAGAGGAGGGAGAAACGACACATGACGAGACGAGACAGTGACAAGACAAGATGCGCAGGAGAAAATATTATCAAGGATGGTCTTTAAAAACCTAATTATTAAATTTTTAAACGATTGTTTATCACTTAGTTTTTACCTAACCCAAATTTAAACTTTATTTAGAGAATATTTATTTTAAATCTAAAAAATTCTAACACGAAAATTTAATTTTTCCAGACCATTTGATATTATTTTTCCGAGCAAAGACACTACGACATACTCGACGATGAGGGGACTTGTACGATTGATATTCGGGGTCGGGCGGTCACTCACCTGTTCGCTGTTGGCGCTCAGATCTTGTCGGGCCTTCTGCTGGCGATACCGCTGCTGCAGAATGGCCATGCGGTCCAGGGTGGCGCTGGCCTTGCTCTTGATCTTCTCCAGTTGCACGGACGGTGGTCGTTGGATGGTGTCGAATACGGATTTGGGGGTGCCCGACCTGGAAGATCCCCCGCCCTCGCTGCGGGGTGGATCTGGTAGCGGGCGGTTGTTCATCTGGTTGGTGGCGACTGGTGGTACTGGGGGCGTGGCCCCGCCACCAAGCGATCCCCGCCAGCCGCCCAGCGACTTGTGCGAGGGTGTGGGCGAGGGCGGCGGCAGCATCTGGAAAAGAGTCGGGTTGGGAGCCATTTCGGTTTCGGTAGTCGGAAAAGTATTGAAAAAATCTATCTGGTTTGCTGGTTTGATTTTTGGGCGGGCGTTCTGGTTTTTAAGGACATTTTTTTATTGAAGCATTCAAATTAAAGATTACAAACTTGGTTCTACGAGTAGCCCGTCGAGGAGCTTTTCTTACGGGTCTAGGAGATCGTGCAGTGGCGTACCTGATCCTTGCGGCCCAGAAACGGTGTCAGCAGGCCGCGTTTGGTGCGACGGGGTGGTGCAATTGGGGGAGGTGCCCCACTTCCGGGCTGCACCTTCGGAGGAATCGGCGGTGTGCCCTGCTCCACGGCCTGAAAGGCTTTCGTATTAGTTTCATATTCTTTCTGGATAGGATAACCTTACCTTTCGCATGTGCTGCTTGCGCTTGGGATGCTTGTGGAACATGTCGTCACAGGAGGCGCAAAAGATTTGTCCCGCGCACTCGGAACAGGTCACCCAGGGATTCTGGGAACCACAGAGAGTGCACTTCAGCTTGTTGTCTGAAAGTTAGCAAAGAGTTAATGTAATTTAAGTTAGAAATATTTTTTATTCTAAGCAACACCAAATCTTAATTTAATGGTGGTAACCTGGTGTCTTGGTCCTGATCACTGTGGTCTTCATCGGTTCGTTGGAGTACTGCTGGCTGGAGAACTCAATGATCTCGTAGTCCGGTTCGGGCGTGCTCTTCGCCTTGGGCGGCAGAGCAGGAGCCTTGGGAAGCCCACCATTTGTGGGTGGGGGCGGTGGCTTCGGTCCAATGCGGTCATTAGCCTCGTTCTAAAAACGGATAATTAATGGAACCCGATATGGGCTGGAGCAGCGGTTGGCACTTACCACCCAAGAGGGCATGGAGCGGACATTCTTGCTAAGCAACTGTTGGGTCGTCATCCTGGTCGATTTTTCGTCTGGGTCTCGACGTCTCGTTGTCTTCTCGATATAATTGTATTCTTAGGTTATCTAAATACGTAAGTAAAAACATATAACTTAGGATAGGATTTCATAGTCCTAGCGAAGTAATATATCCATTGCTGTGTCTTTATTTATAGACAACTTAATCCCTGTGCCACACTTTCGCTCATCCGCAGCCACTTCAAACGACTTCAAATTCAATTAAGCAAGCTGCCAGAAAATGGGAATTATGAATGCATATTTTTAGCTGGCTCACCCAAATTCCGGAGGCAACGACCAATGCGGAAGGTGCTGGGATGCAAATGCAATTTCGTGGATGCTGTGCACAAAACTAAACGCTGCCCGAGTTCGATCGAGGAGAAAACCGCTAAATTTAGGCTAAAACATCTCTATGTGCATAGAATAAATGCAAAAATATATTTTGGCAAAAACATTTTCGGTCTTGTTTATTTATGAAATCATGCGAAAGAGGGAAGTGCCGTTTAGAGACTCAATTGACTCTTTCTGTCAACGCGGCTAAGTGGCTGAGATGCCAGGGAACTTGTTGACGCCGAGCAGAGAGAACTTATAAATGAGAAAGAGAGTTTTGATTTTGAGAATCGTTTGTAAAAGTTTCGCAATGAAGAGAATTTCGAGTAAATTCTTGAGAATAAAAGTGCATCAATAAAACTAACAGAATGAGAGAGAAAATCATAGAGGCTAAGTTCTGAGCGAATACTATATGTGTTTTGTAATGACGCAGGTGGCTTTATCTGAAATGCTGCCAAATTATTGATTTATCTTTTGTCCAAAACAACAAATAAAGGGAAAATGAATATATTATTAAGATAAATAAAAAAAATTAAAAAATAATTAAGTCAGCGATTCTGAATGTAATAGAAAGTATACAAAATATGTTAGTAACCTCTTTAGTTAGTTAATAAATGTTGTTTACTTTTATATCTCCTTTAATTGCAAATTAAGATTTTAACGATTAACGATGTGCTTTAAATATATTAAACTTAATTTCAAGAGTTCAATGGCTAAAAAACGACCATTGATGATAAAACATTTTCAAATAACTCCAAAGGTAAACTTTTTTATTCCAATTTGTTTTTTTGTAAAACCAAATTCTGGCAACATTTCCATAGTTTTCATGCACTAATTACTCGCTTAACGGTCCATTAAAAATGTCCATACATTTTCAAGACAAGAGGCAAAAAGACAATACAAAAGAAGAAGCAAAACTTTTCTCTCCCATCGCGTATACGCAACGTGTGCCTGCATTCCCGTGACTCTCTCACTCCATACTTTTCAGCCGAAATTGTGTCACACTGCGAAGCAATATTTATGAAAGCCGCCTGCAGTGGTTGCAGAGGAATGGGGAGAATGAGTACCAGTACCACCTCACATAGCAGATCCGCCTCCACCGCCACCTCCGCCGGCATCTTCAAGTGGCAGATGCCCTGGGAGGCAGCCACCGAGGCGAACGCAACGCTGACTCACAGACACAGTCTCACGCCGCGAAGGAAAAAGTTTTTTATTTTTATGAGAGAACTTTGGGAACTATTTTTAAACTTTTTGTTGGCTTGCCTATCTTTGCGTTTTTTTTAATACACACTTTTTACTTCTTTAAATTGGCGAATTAACTACAAAAGAATATATTATATTTTTGATGTTTGTATGCTTGGTTTTCCGTTCGATTGTTTATCCTGTGAAATGCCTTGAACTTTCTCATGGAGCGCGCTGTGTTTAAAATTAGCTGAGTTTTATATTTAGAACACTTGAGATCGATTTAATTGCGATGCGAATTGAATTTAGCGTTTGAACTTTGCGGATTGTTGGATTGAACAGAACAGAGCGATTGGGAACCGCGAATGCAGAGGTCACTTACATAATTCGATTTCACTTGACGCGTCTTGCCGCACTCAAAACTGCCACTGCCAGCTGGTAGCACATGAATATATATAGGAATATATATATTTTTCTAATGTCTAGCCACGGCACGACATGAAAGTTCTGCTACGGTCTCGTTCGGCGATCGTCTCCCAGCGAACTGAAATCTCAATCAGATTCTAAACAGCATTTTTACTGCAATCCTCGGTCCCCAGTCGTCGCGCGTCGAGTAGGAAGAAGTCAACGCAGATCTATATTCTCAAATTGTCTGGTTTTCCTCCATTTCCCTCCCCTCTCCACTCTCATCGCTTTCCTATTTTCAGTTTCAGCATTTTCGCGTTGTTTTATAAATACATCGTTTTCGAGCCGTATAGAAAGAACATTTTGACTGCGAGACGCCGTCGCGTGTGTGAATAACATTTTTTCGAATATATATCTTTATCTTTATCTCATTTTTGTTGTTAAACATTTTGCAGAACATACGGGTGTTATTCGGAATTTATTACTTCTGGCACTTCCTAATTTTTGCTTGATTTGATGAATGAAAATATTCAAATTGTAATATTCTGTTATATAATATAAATGTTTATCTATAAAACACAATTTTCATTATTTAAGATTCTATTCTTTGCCTTTCTAAGTTATGGACAGACTTGGAAATATATTGACTTTGATCCAGGAAAGTAAATCTTAAGCAAGGCATTTCCTTAAATCATTTTAAGGCATGTATTTATCCAAATGGCGTCTCAAAGAACGCTCTCAATCTCTCATCGGGATACACCCTTAGCGATAATTATGATTTATGGCAAACAAATATCCATGGGGATCTCCTGGAGGCCAGCCTTGAGCAAATTCTGCACATTCAGCGCGAACAATAAAAAAGAACATCCATAACTTTCGGATAGAACAAATGAAATCAACAATAAAAGTATCGGCACGGGCCACCTGCTGGCTGGCGGAGGTGCAAATCAAAAGGCCATTCCGTTGGAAGGGGGATATTACTGGGTACTATGGGAATTATGGAATTAAAGACCCCCCATGGGGGCTTGGATTCGTGTGGGGTCCGTTCGATAACCGCTAGCTGGTCTAAAAATAAATGCAATGCATATTAAATTGGCTGCGACAGAGTCAAAGTTCGATAATTGCAGACACGCACATTTTTGGCTATCCAACCATAGTCCCCGCCCACCCACGAAAGCAGACCGCCCACGTTTTGACCTTGCCTCAGTTGACGCAAGCCGATGTTTTCCCAATCAGCTGTTCGTCAGCTGTACGTAAACAAGTTAAAATGCCGGTTCTCTCCTTCAACCATTGCCAAAGCTTTCATGAAGCTTCTGCAATAGTACTTGTGTGTAGAAAATTTGTACCGTTTTCCTACTCAGCTTTCACTTGAGTAAAATTCGATGTAGATATTATGTAAGTATCCATGAAATCGATAACAGCTGCGAACGTAAAGCCCGACAAATGTTAAGGCAACCCAACGGATTTTCCGGCTGCATTCGCGCAATGTTCGCTGCAGGCAATGGACGCGTTTGGGAAATTCAAAGGAAAATATTTACCGCTAGCCACCCGCCATCGTATTGCGTGTACAAAAGGGGCGTGTGCGTGCGCCAGTGTGTGTGTGTGTGTTGGGCCAGGGGGAATTGAAAGTGTAGTTTCCCAGTTGGGCGCTCAAGGAAAACATGCAAAATACTAAAAGTTAAAGAAGTGCCTTTATAAGTTACCCATTTTCCTAACATTACTTGGCCCGACATTATGTCAGTCGTCCTAAACTTACGATCAAAAATATATAAACATAAACTAAAGGGTTCAGTGCCTGTTTAAATGCATGTTTAACAAAAAATTACATAAATTGATAGTTGCCTAAGAAGGCAATAAAGGCCAAGTTATGAGTCTAATTATGTGAAAAGGCATACCCCAGGAAAATATTCCTCTTGAGAAGTGCACGAAATGCGCCAAAATTCTGCGAAGTTCACCTTCACCCAGTGTACGAGTATATGACATGCATATGAAAAATCGATACTAGAAGCATCAGCAGTTGCACCGCTCCACCGTCTCTCCAACTGAGCCACGAAAAACGCAGCACCCAGGGGGAGGTGGTCCAATAAGCCCAAACATCAGACAGTTCGACAGGAACTGGGGCAGGAATCCCCTTGACATGGTTGACGCCAAGCCGCAGCCACCCACTCCGGGAGCGATGCCGGGAACGGGAACTGGGACGCCACCGGCTGGCTTTGCCGGGGAGCGGTCGAAAATCAAATTGTTCATGGAACGTACTCCCAGCATCGGGGCCCTCAAGTCCAAGTTCCTCACAGTGCTGGGCAACAGCAACGAGCTGCTCAACGGAATATCAAACAAGGTATGTGGTGGACTAGGGCTGGTAGCGTGAGTGACGTGATTATCATATGTTTAATGTTTACTTAAATAAATGTTTAGAAAATAATGTAGCCATAACAAATAAGATCGGAGTTAGCAGATAGACTCCGTCTATGAGTAAAGTTAAAACCATTCATAGGCAAATTTTTGTGGGTTCCAGATGATGGTTACAAACACGACTGACTAGGAATCACGCTCATCTCTAAGGTTGAGCTGGGGTAGCCTTGGTAATGAACGCGACAAGAGGTGCTTGGGGGTCGGTGCTGGGCGGGTCTGGCAGATTGTGTGTGGGTTCTGTCTATGCTGCAAAAGCAACTGACACTTTGATACTTTTGTTGTGCTGTTTGTTCTTGCTGTTTCCGCTTTGCTGCTGCACTCGTTTGACCTTCACTTGGAGGCCCCAATCTGCGTTTGAGGGATGTACGGGGTACCGGCTATGCCTGTGGATGGGGATGGAATTGAAAAAGGGAAATGAGATGGGGTATGAAAGGGGTACATTCTCTGCTGCTCCCTTTGTACTTGACTTTCTCTCGCTCTGAGCGCTGCAGCCTCGTCCTTGATTGAAATTAATTATATTTACACCAGCCAGAAAACCGGAGAAAGTGCTACATTCGATTTTTCTTCAGCCTTCTTTGTTTCGGATTATCAATCATTGAGAGTGATCTCTTTCATGGTCATGAAAGGTTTTTAAGTTTGTTTAGCTATAAATGTATCTATTAAGGTGGAAAGAAAAGCTTTTCTTGTAATATTTTGATTGCGATTCCCAAAAATAATATTTAGCATAACATTTTCTAAAAGCATAGTTAGCCTGAAGTTATAAGTTAAAACTGTAACACACACCCCAAATACATTTACATTGAAACGCACATCTGCATAGCACATTTGGTACACCGCACATGTTTCAGTTCCTTATGAAATGTGCCCTTTACTTTGCTTACTTGCAGCTGACCCTTAGCAGCAGCAGCAGTGATTCGGACTATTGTGATGATGACGAGGAAATACCAAAGTGTAAGTACTCCAAATCCTGCTCTGGCCTACATTATAATTGCAATCTGCAGTTGACGAGACCATTGATTATACCAAGATCGACTTTGAAGGGCGAAGAGTGAAGGCTCGCCGAGCGCACGAGGAGATTATCTCCGGACGATATCGCCAGCCCAATTTGGCGCCACGTAAGTTATATACCAGAAAGGCCAACATTTGATCAATTTATATACTCTTAATACTCTTTTAGGTCCGCGCTTGGAACCATCACGTGGCCGACATGCGGCCAGCAAACTAGGGGGACCACTCCGCTCCAGCTCCGGCTCTTCGAGCAGCTCCAGCAGCAGCGACGATAGCAGTTCGATGTCCCTGCCCGAGCACATGGCCAATAGATCCCATGACGTTAGCAGCACCACCCGCTCGGATTCGATAGAGTCACGGCACTCCGGCGGATATGAGAGGGCCAGGGCGATTGCCGGAGCTCGTCGCAGCGAGATGGACATGCAGAGGGATGTGCAGAGGATCGGCGAGGTAGTAGAGCCCCAGCCGCCGCACATCGACGTGCAGCCGCCCACGGAAGGTGGGATGGGGGGAGCGGGATCCGGAGGACGTCAGCAGTGGGGAGGAGGTAGCAACTCCATGCGCCTGCCGTCACGAAGTCGAGCCTCCAACAGCAGTACTTTGACCAGCCTGCGGGATGAGCCGGACCAGCTGTTGGCCAGTCCCAGCATGGAGTCCACGGACTGGCGGCATTTTATCCGCTCAGAATCGCAGAACTCGGTTCCGTCGTGGGCCTCTTCTATCAGCCTCGATTGTCGAGCGGGCGAGGAGCCAGTCAAGGAGTTTATGAAACATTTTACCGCTCTTCTTTTCGGTGGATCACCAGGTGCCGTCGATCTGGAGCTAAAGTCGGAGTTCGGGGTGCTGTTACGGCTAGAGATTGGCGGCTATGGTTCACCCGCTTCCTCACCGAGCAGCGTCACAAGTCCAAGCGGCTTGACTCGGTCACGTTCGGTGGTCTGGCCCAATATTTCGCCTTGGCCCTATTCGAGTGCAGCGAATGCGAGGATTATGGCCCGGCGGCGGTGCTAATGAACCTTTGCTTCCTCTTCTACCACGAAGTCGAGGTTCCCGGCTGCGATCCCTACCGCGAGTACCTGTTCTCCTCGCTGCGCCAACAGCCCATCTGGCAACAGGCGCGCTTTTGGAATGCCATCTTCCACGACGCCCTGCAGGCGGAACGTGAGCACCGGGGTCAGAGCCAGATGAGGCGCCAAAAGCGCCGCCAGCAGAAGCAGCAGCAGCGGCAGGCAGCCGGAGGAGCGGGTTCTGGAACAGGAACTGCAGATGTGGCATCTACCAAGTCGCAGCGAAAACAGGGCGGCGACTCCTCGTCCAGTTCCTCGCATCAGGCGGTACAACCGGCCGCTGCCGCGACTCCGGCCTCCACTGGTTCCAATCCGGCCAACAGGAGACAGAGCAAGACCAGTCTCACCCAGGCGCAGTCAGTCAGGGAGCAGGAGGACATTGCATTTCGGCAGCTTGGGTAAGTGTTTGTTAGTTTCTCGGTTTCCAGTTTAATATATAGTAAAGTAAAAGATATTTACTTAAAACACCACCTGCTGAATAGATCAAAATCTTTTAAAAACAAATATATAATTTAGTTAAATACTAAAAAAATGTGAACTTTAATATTAATCCACAGTGCCTTGACTTGCAACATGCACTCACTCGGCACATCCCAAGAACTGTGCCTTGATTTCCTGAAAAAGAATGTGGTGGCCCTCAACCTATCCAAGGGTAAGAGCAACTAGCATGGTCAAAATGACTGAATTGAATCCTACCATTTGTAATCCTTCCAGATAAAGCCAAACTTATCAGAGACAATATCTATCGAATGTACCATGAGACGCAACTTTGGGGAGCACGACATGCCTGAGGTGATCTCAACGATCCTAGTCCCTAATAACTGATATACCCTATGTTTAACTTGTAATTCACAGCAGTAACAATTGTACATGTACCTAACGAAATCGTGTTTCAATCTTCGTCTCAACTAAAGCTAAACTTTTGTCTTAAGTCAGCCGACAACTCCAAGCTAATCCTAACTTAAAGTAGCAGGTCAATGAAGTTTATATCGGAAATCTGATGTTTTTACTCGCGTTGTTGTAACCGTAAAGATATTACAGAGGTAAGGATTCTTGTAACTGGATTTGGTATACTCTATTGTTACATTGGGAATTGCCTGTTCAAAAGACATAAATGATTTCTGCAAACGTTCTTTAATTAAAGAGACCTGATTGCTTAATTCGGAATTGCATATCAAAAACACGTTCTGAATCAAAGCCAGTTACAAGAATACCATTACTGCAAAAGGTAAGAGAACATTTAAACAAATACTGATGTGTACATGTATCCATAAATTGTGATAATAATATTTTGTGATTACTTTATATAGACCTAAATATTAACGTGTACCGGAATTATGCAATGCAAATAGTTAAAATATCGCAGTTTAAATTGTTACAAATCAAAATCAATAACTATGCTATAACTATGTTTATGATGTAAGAGATAATATTTCGCAATTGTTTAATACATTCAAATCAATAAAAGTCTAATTAAATCCAATTAGATCAAGCAGAACCCGATCGATCCAACGGCTATACATAAGGTAAGAGAACGTTCTTACTCAAAGCTTTACTCTCACATATTAAATCTTAACAGCCGCCTAAAAGCAGGCAACGTATTTTTACTACATACCAAAAATCCTTTGACATTAAGATTCTTTTTTCCATTGAATTTTTCAGATTATCTAATGAAAAATTGTTAATCGAAAGACATTTGAAATACTTATATTCTCTTTATTAAAATGATGCAACACAAGAACATTGTTCGCTTAATTTCTTTTTAGTTGTTTGTGTGAATGAAAATATGTTAAAAATAAATTAAAAATTTCATATTGTTAGTCGCATAAATGTTCATGCTGTTCATTCTTTAAATATTGCACTACATAAAGGTTCTTGAATACTTTCCAGTTTGCATTTAATGATCGACACTCAACTTATGTTAAAATGTTTCATTATCCATGATCTGCATTATACGTTTAACAATTAAATTTTATTCATTTAGTTCTTTGTACAAATTGAACAAGCCAAGGCCATATGCAGGAAACAAAGAATTTTTCGGGCATGTTCTACAACATTTAAAAATAAAAACTAAATACAACTGACAGAAGGTAATGATCGTAATTACAGGAATTCATAATGAAATAATAAGATAAATATTATTAATAATAATAACTGATAGCAATAGACAAGCTAAAAGCTATAACAACAATTGCGTGTGTACGGTTTGAACTTTAATTTAAATATTTTCAACTTTTCTATTTTCTTATTTGGGCCAGATGTTCAGAACTCAATTGACGGGTCGGATCGTTCCTTTCGTATAAATATATACAATACACTTGAAAACCTAAGGTCGCTAGCTCTTTCCATATATATATATATATCTATGTACGCATATGTGTATATCTCTTGTAGTAAGGTAGGTGGTAGTTGGTCTCCGACACGGTTGCCATTTCCTCGGCTAGTGTGTTTTGTTGCGATCACAAGTGGGCCATAAGATTCCCCTGACTTAATCCACGATGATCTGGAAGGTCACAGACCCCTTGCGATCTCGGACACTGCCGCTGTAGTCGATGTTCTTGGCCCAGGCGCGGCACTCGACGTCCAACATTTGGCCCTTCGGCGGGGAGTTGAACTGGACGGCGACAAGGGGACTCAGGTAGCCATTCTGGTTCAGATACGGGTAGTAGTAGCTCGGGAATCCCTGGCTGGGGAAGTACCCGATGTTCTGGAAGTGCTCCTTATCCTTGCCCAAGTGTCCGTTACAGCTCACCCAGATTTGTTGGCGCTAATAAAGGGAGGATATTAATGGAACTTTGGTTTCCAAATATGTGCTACTTACCTCCTCTTTCTTGGTCCCATTGATAACCTTCTTCAGCTCATCGGGCATATCCTTCTGTTCCTCGTCATAGACATCCGGCTTCCAGCCATAGATCTTGTTCAACTTAAGGAATATACAGGGCTGGTTCGTCTTATAGCCGTAGTTGTTGGCCTTCGAGCAGCCGCCAAACAGTTCCGTGTTGACCACACACACATCCGTGGGATCATGGACCTGACCGAAGCCGCAGTGCTTCATCTCCCGACCCTCGGTGTGGTTGTAATCTGAAATGCAAGGACTATAAATAAAAGAGCCCGCTTTAAGGTACTCAATATTAGTTTGTTTACCTCGGAGGAAATCATCAATCAGCTCGATCCAGTAATCACTCTCTGCCGGCTTCTTGCCATCGAAGGCGATCACCGATCCACGCTCGGTCTGCTCGCTCAAGGGACGGAATCCCAAGCCGGGATTGGTGCCTATCAGCGATTCGTGCAGCTTCCACTTGGGTTCCGTTTCGCTGATGGTGGACAAAAGTCCCTGCATGCAAATGGTGAAGAGAGCGGCCAACACAATGTAAAAGATTGTGTAGAACAGCAGCAGTTGACCTGTGAAAAAGGGAACAAATTAGATGGAAATCTTTATATGGAATTCTGTTTAAGGTAATATTCATTTTTTAATTCCCAAAGCAATAACTAAATAAATTTTATGTTTGTTTTTAATACCCTAGTCAAACAATATTTTTTATCAAACGTATTTCTAAATAAACAAGATGAAACAGAACTTGCCATGCAGGAAGTTGAGTCATTTATAAGAAGAAAATGCTTTGATATTACTCAGAGTTAATGTTAGCTTTATATAACATAAAGAATTTATAATTTGTGAAAGATGCAACGTCTAAAAGAATGGCTTCCCCATACATCTGCACTCTTTGCATTCACCTTTTATATCACGCGATTGCGATTACGATTTGATTGTTTCTGTCAGTTGCGAAAATGGGGCTACAGTCTCATTGCGGAACTGGAAGAATGAGGGATCTGGAAATGAGACTGGGACTGAGGTGGACTGGGAATGAACAAGAGAATGGGGACAGGGCTTATGCAATCGAAACGAGCACGCAGCTAATCGAACGCTTACGACGAGTGCAGTAAATGAGACAAAACGACAGAAACAACAAACAGAGAACCGGGACTGGGACCGGCATTTTTCAGTATTTCAATGTCATTAACATTGTCGACTCAGCTAGAATTCAGTGGGCTGTTGATACTTCCCTGGGGCCGCCGGACACTGAATACAGAGCACCGGACATCGGGCGCCCGACTGGGCCAAGCCCCATAGCAATTGCATAAATAAACGACACCGTCGACAAACCGAAATTGACAGCGCACCCGAGAAAAAGCGACCGAATCGACGACTGTCCAATGGAGCTCAAATTTCCAAACAAATTAATCGTATGAATGAATATCGAATACAATGCACGGACCTTAAAGTACAGTAGGTAACAAAGGCAAGAGGAAATTGCTCGATAGGGGGTTGATATTGACTTGTTCGAACACCCAGTTGGCACCTTGGTAAAGGGTTTTCGAAAGTTCTAACCAACTGGTCTATTAAAAACTGCTTCGAGGCACTAAATCCCAATTTGGCTCATTCTTTTCAGGCCCACAATAATTAATCACTTTGTAATCGATTGTATTTACTTTCGATTGGTCATCGCTCTTCTATATACTTAGATTTCTAAAGAAATAAGCTTCATAGTAAAAAGAAAACTTCCAATGCCAAATTTATTGTATATAATCATATTGAGACGTAGTTGAGATCTTACTTAACTTCACTGAATAGATATCCGATTCGAAAAGCTTTTCTTATTTCTAGTTTTCTTCAATTATTTATCTATAAAGCCACAAGACAATATCTGGTCTTTACCGGCCACAACAGTCCATGACAGGAGTTAGCGATTGGTAATCGATGGCCTCTGCCGACCGTTCGTAATGACTCTTCCATATTTGAGTTTTCAGCTGCTCATCAAAGTTTCACAGCGCGCCAAATGGCTCTGCGGCTGCTTGTTGCCAAGTCCAAATGGGAAATAATTGCGTTCAAGTACAAGGAAATAAGTTTGGCAATGACCAGAGTGGACGCAGTCATAGACAAATACCAGATAGTCTGGTGGTATGACGCCAGTCGTCGCCCGAGCCATCAAACCGACCAACCACCCAACCACAGACCGATACCAATACCACTCGCCGCCTGGCAAGGTGGGACGACGCGACGGCCTGTGGCGCTAGCTACCAATATTCAATGTGTAAGGAATTGTGGTCTACACGCTTACGATTACATGACGGCCAAGTCCCCAAACATTCTTATGTCTTCGCTGGATGAGGCATTACAAAAACTCACCCAAGGAGGGACCGCCATTGCCTTTTCCACTGAAATCGATAAATCCACTCCACTTCATGGGATACTATACAGGATCTACGACTACATATGGCTATTGCATGTCAAGTCATCCAAACTACATTTGCAGTAAATATATCTAAAATCATGAATATATTTATTACTTTTGTTTGCTTTTCCCATGCCCCCAGGGGGTGTTGTTGCATTAGGGGCAACATCGTAAACTCATGGACTCTCGTAATTTACTTTTTATTACTAAGTAAAAACTTGATGGTATATGTTCTTTATTCTTTTTGATGGCAGCGAAACCTTGATAAAAAAGAAAATATTCGAAAGTGTTGGTCTAGAAAAAAGAACACAATTTCCAATTGACTTTATTTCAATTTTAGATATTAGCATATCTGATCATTATATATTTATTGCCAGATGCTTCTTGAACTTTGTTATTTTCTGCCTTGAAATATATTGCTCTTTTGAGATATATGCAAAAGAACCGAAAATAAACTTGCGATCTGGCACATTTCACGAAGCAGAAGAATCAGTCGGTGGAGTCAGACAAATGAAGGAAAATCCAATAGGACAATCTACAATTTCCAAGAAGGAATAATTTTATCCTGAAGGACGAGTAACAGAAGACCCTCTCCTTTGGCTCAAAACTTACTAAACACTTATATAAAAGTCAAACAAGATGTCGGCGGGAGGTATCAAGTTTATGCATAACAGTAAATGCGACTTATGAAGGAAACTTTACTTATATGGCCTGCCACCCGCACTCGTATATTGTGCAACAACCAATGGCAAGATGGAGGTGGAGTGGTGCAACTCGGCGACCAAGTTTTTATAATAACTGGACAATCAAATACAGGACGAGGGCTTCGCTTATCCACGTCCATCGCGGCTTGGTGTGGTAAACAAACTTAAAGGACCCGTGACCCATATAAATAGCGCCACTCCCTCCCTATTCCAATCCCACTCCACTTTTACTCCCATTCCCATTTCTAGCCCCGGAAAACCCAACCCAAAAGCACTGGAAACGCTAGTCGGTTTGCATGACCAACGATTGATAACCTCGCTCCGTCCTAGGCGACATCCAAGTTAAACCGCCAAGGCCGACGAAACTTAATAATTCAGTTACGTGTTGGACGCACATATGGCCAGAATCCAGGACACTAAAAACCACTAGCCAAGTGGCTTAATTTGCACATTTGGCCAGAAACTAAGCAAGTCCCATAGTTGTGGGAAATCGGTTAACGGCCTGCACATGTGCACCTACAGCTCATTTATGTAATGAGTGCGCGACAAGTTGACTTTGAAAATATCCCACGATCATGAATTGAAGTAAGGCATGTTTACCTATGTTAAGTTAAAATATACAGTCCTCTGTACTAAACTGATTTCTCAACTAGCTAATATGTATGTGTGGGAATAAAATACTCTTGTTTTGATTCAATTTCCATTATTAGTTATTAACGCCCTTCTAGGCTTAAAGCAAGAAATTCGATACCAACTTTGCATTAGGCTGATAGAAATAGGGGTATCAAATCACATTTGACTTGGGTTCTTTGCTGCTTTCTTCTGGTTTCCAACATACACCACTTCTCTCTATTTCTGCTAAAAAGTAATCTAAAGTTTTAAGATTAAAGTAAAAAATTTAGTAGAACTCACTGATACTTACAGCTTGACGAAAATGTATTGGATAAAATGTTTTAAATAATTGCTGTAGAATGAAAAACTATTAGGCAACGTAATTAAAACGAAGATTAAAGAATAATAGATTAGGAAAACCAAACGATTTGGCAGTAATTTCCAACGCAAAGACACAATTTTGGCCCATAAGGTACATGGAAAGCGAGTGCCTAAACGGAACTAAAGGAAAGCAACAATTATGACGCCACCGAGACGAAAGTCCCGGCCAAGGATAGGTAGAAAGAAATGAAATAAGAACAAGGATGCAACTTGTTGGTGTCTGTCATCATTATACTCATTACCCCCAGACCACATCCAGCCAGATTGAGTGGGTCACGTCACCTCCATCTCCCGTCCCGTTTCGCCCTCATTGCCAATAAGCCGTCTCCGTGGCGCCGCTTTATTTGTTGCTGTCCGCCGCACCCTTTGTCCATGCGTCACCACCACAGACAAAGACAGATAGAAACACACACATAGACACACCAGCACTAGCACACACCCAGGATCATTTGCCCATCTTTCTTTTGGCTTTCTGTGTGCCTAAAGCCTATAGCATACTTTGCGGCATTTTAAGTGAATTAATTTCACATGTTACGAACGAGGGAAAGCCCCGAATGCCCCGCCCTCGACAAACATTGCAATCGTTTAGTTTGCTTATTATTTCTGGGCCAGAATGAGGGTGGGACCCGCTTCTTCCTTTCAGCCAACATTTATTCGGTTTGGGCCAAATTGGAAATCGAAAAACTATTCAAAGTGCGTGGAAAAGGCAGCTAAATATTGATTACAAAAAAACTTTTTACTTTCCATTTGAATATATTAGTATAGGGTATGAGTTCTATAATTAGCAACAATGTTTACCTTAGCCTCTACGTATTTTTACTTAGAAATAATTAATAATGAAAGAGGCCTAGTAACAACCAAACTTAATGATAAACGAATATATTATTAAGTAAACTTAGGTTTCTAATCATTTCTTTGCTTTATTAGTTAAGACAAATATTTAAATAGAATATTTTATTAGTAGGCGAGATAAAAAACCAATTAAGCAAAAGACTAAATTTAATACTTTACCATTTAGTCAGAAATAAATTTCATTTAAAATTGGCTAGGCAAATTAGTTTCCTGGGCATTAATTGAATTGTGTATTTTATCGTTGACTTGGCGCTATCGTGACAATTAGTTAGCAGCATGTCAATGTAAGTAGGCGAGGGGCGTGGCGGGGGCGATTAATGGGGAAATCAGTTTCAGCTGGGGAAATGCGGTTCTAGCCGGTTTGAGCCCGATTTTGAAACTGGCTAGGGCACTGATTTGTCTGTCATTCCTGCTGCATTGCGGTTGCATTGATCTGATAAGCCTTGCAGTATTTTCTCTAGACTGAACTGAGACAAAATAATGATTTCTTTCAATAACACATTTTGTTACATTCATGATATATACTCAATTTGTTTGCTGTACAGGCAACTGCGCTGTACAGAATTAGAATGTGTAACAAAGCGAAAGCATTTCCAAAAAAAAAAAAGCACAAATAAACATAAACCCGCTGAACCGGTTCTCTGAGAAGGTTCATCCCCACCTAAAAAAAAACCGACCCGAACCTAAACAAGTTCTCATTGCGTTAATTAATGGAAATCAAAGCTTAGCCAACCGTCCAATGCTTTGCCTTCATTTGAAATCAGAATTTAATCGAATTCGCTCGGACGATCGTAAATCAAATTGGGGATTTCAATCGAGTATGTTTTTTGTTTGGCAGTGCACAGTTCTCTCGACGTTTGTTTAGAATCAGTGGAATAAATTTAATCCACTGATTGATACTTTTTTCATGGAGTTATTACCATTTAATTCTAACACTAATGCACGGCACATGACAAAAATTGCCGGGCTGTAAGTAGCGGTAAAGCCAAGGACATGCATCGGACTTAATGATAGAAATTAGCTGAAGGCAAGCCAGACACTTTAACCCATGTAAATTTTGTTCAACAAAAAGTTTTTACTAAATAGACATATTGACATCTGTTGTGCGAAGCAGGTGTGTCAATAGAGGGTTAAGTTCTTTTGGGGCTTGGCTCCCATGACAGGCAAATCGACACTTAGTCGAAAAATTAGGAATCAGCATAAATAGTTATTAGAGCTTTTTGGGGGTACACCTGGGGCGTTAATTTGGTAAATAAATTATACATCAATTTAAACATTTTGATAAACCTGAACCCAACTGGGCCAACTTAATTAAATGCAAACAAATGACGTAAGTGAAACTATTCGACGTGCCTCTTCGATAAGAATGGCAGTGTCCCCTTACGTGCTCTACTTAGGTAGAAAGGTGCTCAAAAGAATTCAGAAATTCTAGTACTTTAGCAGTTCGGTTTGCGATCGACAGCTTTCTGAAATATTGGTATCGTGAGAGCGAGGAATCTCACTCTGCCGCTGATTGCAAAACCTTGAATTTGTTTACAGAACCCATAATAAAAAGGCAAATATTATAGGCGATAAAAGCGATCTGCCTTCCTCTCACCACCAGTCGTTCCTCTCACCTTAGCGAACGTGGGTCCGTGTCCATTTTCGAAAATGAAGAGTTCACATTATCGTTGAAATATGCTTTGCTATGCTTTTTGTGGGCAGCGAAAACTTGGGGATCGTTAGCCAAATTGAAAATTTTAAAAAAAAGGCAATTAAGTTAAGAAATAAACGAACGTGTAGAAGCAAAAAAAACCCATTTGTTTAATTTTGGATTCTAAATAAGACCCAACGACTAGTGTCGGCTTAGATACTTGTTACTTAGCCCCAATCACGTTGCCTACGTTTGCTCAAGGTGATTATATTTCAAAATAATATTTTTAATGACTGCTTATAAAAAAAACCCCTTAATCGGGCTGGCTGGTAATACGTTTATCTACTTTATTGTGTTGACTAAACATTTTCGAGTCACCGCAACGGAGATTTCCAAAACAGCTTCCCTACCGCATCCCACTTCCCACATTATGACTCGCCAAAACAACTGATAAGCCGTATTTACAAGCACATGCTCCTCATATATATAGTTTCCATAACCAAATGACGGACATGTGGCTGGTTATATATGTACAATAAACAATCGCATTTTTGTTTCTATGTACAGAGCGACTGGGGAGTGGATGCAGATATTGTCAAGAGGGTTTCGACTTATGGCTCTTTTGGGAAATTAGTTCTAGCGTACGAAAAGAAGTTTGAAGTCGAGTTATCCGAGGGAAATTTCGAATTAGCTATCTAACAGATAAACCACATTTTCAGATTATTTACTTCTGCCTCTTGATGGATTTATTGTCTAAAATTGGATTCAAATTATAATTATACTTTGAAAAAGAGTCAGTTTTTCCATGTTATGGTATTTATACATTTTCAAATATTGAAACAAGTTTGCTTAAAATGTATTCTAAAAGTAGAACCATCTTAATCCTTAGTTCCAATCCATTTACTTACTCCAGTTTTTGCCGGTACGTCCGAAGAAGGTTCCATCCTGGGGATCATAGATCATTTGGGAGAAGGTTTGCTTCTTCGCTGGCTGCGGGAACTCGAATTCGCCTTTGGCGCCCTTTCCGTTATTTTTTGACATTTTGTCGCTGTTCTTTCGCACTTGATTACAGTTAGCTTTTCAGTTTGGCTGGGATTCGAAAATTTCGGTTTTTTTTCCGCTGATGACGTGGACGGCGCGCGAAGGCTACGAAAACTGATTTATGTATACGTATTTCGATGTATATGCGATGATTCAGCAGACTCGGAAATGATTCTCTTTTATATTCGCACTGGCAGCACTCTTGAATATATTTTGAAAAACTTGTAATTATGCAATTATTTGCGCTGCGAATACTCGACTATTTGTTAAGCGACTGAGTGAGTTAGAACCGACTTTGGGCCGCGGAAGAAGCCAAAACAGAAGCACACACAAACGGGCTGGGAGCCACGAGAAGTTGCTGCCAACTCTTGGTTGTTTCCCTGCTTCCTTTGACTGCGAAAGACGATGCGTGCTGCGTGTTGTCGCGGCGAAGGAAAAAACAGAAATGCGCTCTCGGCGAGATCACCAACTAACCGAACGCAGTCCCACCAGAGCGAAGCAAAGGAAAAGCACCGCCAACGTTCTTCGCCCCTCAACACCCACACAGACACACCACGGGTGTTCGTTCTCTCTCTGTCTCTTGCGTTCTCTCGACAAAAGCTTTAAGATAAGAGTGCTATTGCACTGCTCAAAATGGGTGAGATATTATGAACAGAGAGCGGGAAAACTGGGATCCTTGAAAAATTTCTGACACTTGGCCCAAAACGTGACAATAGAAGGTCAGCTTGCGGCCTAATTTAAAACAATATTTACCGTAATGTTAATGCTTCTATTAATAGCTATCCGTCTAAAAATAAGTTCGTTAACCTTTTGTTTAATAATATAATATTATAATGATACAAATATATAATTATTAGTTTGTTTAAATAAGTTGCTAAAATAGAAGGTAAAAAGTAAAGCTTATATTATCCTTTAAATATGTTGTTCTAATACTTCGTAGGAATAAAGGATCAAAAGAATTTTCATCATATAGTAAATTTAATAATATTTATTTCCTAAAGCAAAATTTTACAATTATCGTATAGAACACTGTACTAAATAAAGTTAATTACTTTTAGCCTTATAAAAACCAAATATTAATTATTGTTATTTTTATTAATTTCATTTAAAAAGTTTCTTTTTTTATATACTTCAGACGTATACTACAAAAGAATGTCATTAATGAGGTGCACTTTTCTCGCAGTGCGATGCCGACAGCTGTTGAACGTTTTCGACACTTTGCCAAGCAACATAAAAAAGGCCAAAGCAAAATCTGTGGGCCAGGGGAGAGGCGGTGGTTGAGTGGCCCAGGTGTGTGTGTGTGTTAGATTGTGGTGTCGTGTGTGCCTTACCTTGCCACTCTCTATCTTTTGCTCTCACGCTCTCTCTTTCGGACTTACTACGCAAATAGAATAAATGATTGAGTGCAGACAGCGGCCAGACAACAACACACCAGAGGGTGCCTGTTTAGGTTAAGCAATTTCTTTAAGTGCAGCAAGTGGTTTAGTTCTTAAAGGCAGTGGGGCCCGCTTAACCCTCAAAAAGTGAGATGCGCTCCTGCTTAATAAATATTAAAATACTAAGCACAAAGAAATCGCACGCACACTAGTTCAGTTCTCTCCTACTTTTCCGCTCTAACGCTCTCCTGCTCTCTTTTTGACATGCGCTGAGAGTTGAGTACATTGGCTCCACTACACTCCACCCACATCCCCACTACCAACCCCCTGACCAATGTTTCTCTCATTATGCTCGCTTTGTTTTGCTTTTCCGCGCTCTCCCAAACGGTTGGATCAGTTTTTTGGCTGCCCTGTGCTTCGGAAATTTCCACGCGGAAAGCGGGAAAACTTTCTTTGTTATTGTTCCCTCAATCATTATTCGTAGCCATCAACATCTGGATAACGCTAATGCTGCACTGAAAAAAACGAATTTCTGAAATCCCAATAAAAATTTGTTTTAATGAAAAATGCTCAAAACATCCAAACTTTTATTTGATGGCAAGGGATTCGATTTTTTGTCGAGTGTGAGTACGTTGCCAAGTGTCAAGAACGTTTGAGTTGATTAATTCCCATAAATGTGCACTTCCTCCTGCATGGCAACCCCCTTGCAGGGCCCAACTCCCCCAACAATGGGTTGCCATTGCCAATTTCGCTTCTTCTTCAACTGCTGCCGCTGATTATCAGCATGGAGATGCACGGCTATATGGCCACGGCATTATGCTCATGTACATACATATATACGTACCATATCTCTGTGCCCCACTGCTGTAATCATCATAAGTTGATTAAATTACACTTGACAACGGCAGGGTAGATACATTCAGTGGACAACTCAATTGAGAGCCACAGTTCCTGCACCAGAGTTGATTGGGTTCTCAGACAAGAGAAGTTTCTTGGCTAGAATATAAAAATCTTTACAAGTTTAAAGTCTTGTAACTACACTTTAAATGAGCATACAAATACCTTTTCAGTGACGCATATAACACATCTGAAAGTTGGAATCTGTAACTTCAAAGCTTCCTTGTTTGGATTTATCCGGTTGTAGGCAAACAACATTTAACTACACAAAGAAAGTGCCTTGTCGATCTCGCTTCTGCTCAGTTTGAACTCTAAATTAAGCAAAAGCAAAGCTCCGATTTTCACGAGAATATTTTCAACCTACCAGTTTATCCTGGTCCAAACTGACTTCACAGCAATCTCTGTGTGCGTGAGCTTGTCAGTCTTTCAATCTCGGAGAGCTTCCTCATTAGAGATGCGCTTTGGTTTTTTTATTTGGCGAAAGATTCCAACAGCTACATGGCTTCGGTTCTGTGGACAATAGTCTGTCATTCAGCTAATTAGCTCTCAATTAGCGGATAGACATTGCCGGCAAGTACGAGTATGTACATATGTACTAATCCAAACAGATGATGCTTATGTGTGTCCAGTTGATTACTCTGAAAAAGCCAACAATTGTAACAAAAGTGATCGACAGATCACAGATCTATTGACATCGCGGAGAGAATCAGAATTCATTTCTTATTTATCCCGCTTTGGTTATGTGAACTTCACTATTTTGTATCCTTTTTTTTAAATTAAAGTTAAATTACAGGAGTGAGAGCGATTGGATAGGTCATAGTAATTCAGTATTCAATAATCAAAGTTGAAAGTCGTTCTTCATTTTAGTTTTACTTAACTTTTCATTTGATTTAATGTTGAAGGAATAAAAACACCCAAGGCGGATTGAAAATCAAGCAATCGAATTCATTCCAAGTGATAAACCATATATGCTAGTGTATACTTTTCGCGCTTTATTTTATAAATAAACAAAATGTCAAAAGGCAAACAGCAGGGCTTCGTTAATGATTTTAAATGACGCAATTGGCAAACTTATTATTTGAGCTGATATAAATGGCTCTTACCGCGTACCGATATACATAAATGATTACACATATAAAAGCCAATCGATCTGGCTTTAAAGTACATGTATTTATCAGTCACCGGCTGACCAGTACCAGGTGACGGCAGAGATTTCGATGATATGGCATTATCATCGCTATCATTATCTTATCACAGCAGGGCCCCACCAGCGTTTACGTAAATCCATAAGTATGTCATATGTATGCTCAACAGATATTTGTTGGTACCACTCTCTTCTAGGAGTATCTTAGCCAGCTACCCCCAAACCACTTGTTAAATGAAAAGCCTCATAGTTTTTCTGACTAATTTCATTTGATTTTTATTGAAAAAGATTTGAACGTAACTCTTGTCTCTTAGCCGTTTCAATTAGAGTTAAATCCTTAAATTTCTCTCTTCGCAATTATTATATTAAAAACTTACAAATTAACCGAAGTTACAAGTTTCCAAATGTTGTTGTTCTTTAGCCATCGATCAAAATGTGATGCATAGAGGGTTCACTTTTGACTAAGTTATTAATAAATATGGTATATGCTGAAGCTAGCTTTAAATATTAATTTTTTGGTTGACAAAATTGGTCTGTTTTGGTTAGTTACAGGTATAGCAGACTCAAAAGTGAAATCTTTAAATTTTCTTTATAAATTTTAATATCTAATGATTCGTTTGTTGTTTGTTTTTTATTTTGTTGGAAATGGCAGTTTGGATTAATTGCTGTAAATTTGTTGCATTTGATTGTTTTAGTGTTGTCGTTAGCTCTAAATGAGATTCAGGCTTGGCTATTTCAATCCTGTTCATTGATTTCCCATCTTTAGTGTTCAGTGTTCAGTTTTCTAATCTAATGTCCTCTATATTCATCGTAAAGTGCATACAAAAATTGTTGAAATTTAAAATTTGTATATTTTAGGCGTTGCGAGTCTTGATTATAATTTGTATAATTTGTATGTTTGAGAACTTGAATAATACAATTAACAATTTGGAATTACAATCGGAAATCTGAACCATTCACAATTTTTACTACAACAAACAAATGTGGTGCCTTGCCTCTGCTAGGATTGTCTCAGACGATAATTAACGCCTTCCTCACACTCACTGCGACCAAGATTCTTGCTCATCGGAGATTGTTCTGTTTTAAATTATGTTATAGGTAATAGTGTGTGATGCATCTTAATCGATTAGGAGCTCGTAGTGAACCGAACCGATCCGATCCTTGCGATCATGTATGATGTTACGAGCCCAAGCCTTGCATTCAACGTTGATGATGATTCCGCCTAAATACGAAATAATTCATTACTATGGAAGCAGCAGCAGGATTCAAGAAGTACTCACGTTTGGGACGCTGGAAGTGTACGGCCACCAAGGGACTCAAGTAGCCCTCGGAGTTCTGGTAGGGATAAAAGTAACCGGGGAAGCCCCTGATTGGCAGGTAATTTACGGCTCCAATGTTTTCCTGGTCAGCTGGATTCTCGCCCTCGCACGATACCCAAATGGTATTCAACTAGATTGGATTAGAAAGATTAGCTTGATTAGTCCGATCCTTGATATCATCTCCCTAAGCATTTCACTTACCTTTTGTGGCTGCGTCTTCTCGATCTCGGCAATGTAGGTCTTCAAGCTCACTGGCATGGATTCGGGCAAGTCCCGGGATTCATTGTAATACTCTGGTATCCAGCCATAGATCTTGTTGAGCTTGAGGAAAATGCACGGCGCACTCTTGTGATAACTGTAGTTGTTTTCCCTGGTGCAAGGCGACCAGGACTTGATGTCCACATCGCACACCTGACCCTTCGGTGGCGGTTCGTTATAGTCGCAGTTGTAGATGTTCTGACCACGGCCAGGTGTTAATCCAGGTACTTTGTAAACTGGAAGGGTAAAACACAGGTAATATATTTTCTATTTCTATTTATCATTCATCACTTACCCGCGAGAAAGTCGTCTAGAGAATCTGTCCAGTGTTTGTAGTTTTCATGCTGAGTGCCCTTGTACCAGATCAAAGTGCTTTCCACGTTATCGACCGGGGGCAAGGGGCGGAAACCCAGACCTAGGATCATAAAACACGGATTAGAAAGATGAACGAACCGTGTCGCAATTAGCAACTTACCTGGGTTTGTGCCAATCAGGGAACGGTCAAGGGTCCACTTGGGAATGCGAGGATCGAGTGTTTGGAAGAAGGCCCACATGCAGATGGCCACCAGGGCGGCGAGGACTCCATAGAAGGCCACATAGAAGATTCCGATTTTGGCTGCGATAGGAAGGGAACAACAGGAAATGCTTATTGAATTACACCGATTAAAGCCGTTCCTAACGACGATCACCAGTCAATTGATGCGATTGAATTAATTAATTGCCAGTGGCCCCTCGGTCGCCATGGGTTAAACCGATAATTGACGACAGCGGGCGCACAAGTGAGCTATATAAACAAATGGGAACCCACCCCCAAGCTGTGCTGCTTCTCAAGTTCGGAGTGGACGGCAAACTGACGCCGAGCTCCATCGACTGAATCATCATCCAAACATTCGCACAAGCCTATATATGCATTACTTATGGCGCCGCTCTTCGAAAGAGAATTAATAGATACACTCAAGAGACTTCTGCTTACTTCCCGGTCCATGGGTGTGTGTATATGTGTGAAGAGATCGCTCTTAGATCAGAGATGCTCGTACTTCACAACGGACATAACCTCAATTGGCTGCTAAGAGAATTACTGGTTAAGGAAGAGTCTAAGTGTCGAGCTAAAGTTTGGTTTATGTTCAACTCAGGCTAACAAATATACTCCACCTATTTACTAGGTGTGAATTTCAAAGAATTATAAAAAACCATGTGGTTTGATTTAAATGCAATTAAATTTAACACTGCTGTTGTTTTATGTTTACCATGGATCAAAAATTCGTTATATAATTAAGTCCATTTGGAAAAAAATTACAATTTTAAGTATTCAATTTGGACATTATTTCACAGATATATTTGTTGAGTTCTTTGCCAAGATCTGGCCAATGCAACTAGTACATATTTCCATATTTAAATATTTTCAGCTTTGCTTTGCTTTTCCCATTTCAGCATAATTGCATTGTACATTGGTCTATATATAGACAAGGCCTTGGGCTTGCCAACTTTTAAATGCCAATATTGGCGTGCCGAGGAAAACCTTTCCCGTACAATTGATGATAAACGTTGCAGCGGACAGCTTAACTAGCGGTAATTGAAAGCGAACAAAAATAAGATGCCACATTTCCCCGCCCTAATCTGTCCCCATTTCCGAGCATCGTTACATGCAGATGTTAATTTGTTCGCCGCTTTCAAACCCCTACTCTAATTTTTATTTCAGTATTGTAAATTGCAACACTCCAGAAGGTCTAATGGGCGATACTTTCGCAGTGCCGTGCTATTGGCATAAATATTCCCAAAACGTAGCTCAAACTGGTGACAGCAAAATGTGACTTATGGGCCTGATTTACAACAGGCAAGTGCAATAAAAAACAAACGCCCGTTCCAGTTTTATGGCCAGAGATTGCAATAAACTTACCCCATGACGAACGATCGCGGCCCATAACGGTGCCATCCTCAGAATTATATAAGAACTGGCCTAGGTTGAAGGGTTTGGGCTTCCTTAAGTTGTGCAGATCCTCGTCCGCAAAGGACGGACTCATTGGTACGGGCTTGGACATGTTACTTTCGGTGGGTCTTTGTCTTTGAATCTAAAAGGCCTGTGTACAGTTCAGTAAGTGTTTAACATGCTTAAAGGGGTGGGAATTTCAAAAGATACACGAGAGTATATTTTGAAAAAACTTTAAATCCATGATAAACATTTCAACTGAATTGTAAACTGGCAGTGTTCTGAAATTTAGCCATCACTTGCTGACTTTCTTTTTCAAAATAGTATGTATGTATGTACATATTTATTGCACTACCACTGATACACTTTATATATATATATATATATACACTAGTTTTTTTAACAGTCTTTGTCCTTTGCTCTCTTAATTTCTCTCAATACTCTCACTCAGTGCCCGCTACCCTTTCAACCCTCTTGCCGTGCAGAAAATTTGGCGCCTTTTTTGGCTTTTGAGGACGAGTCAAATGGTGCCTCCGTCGGATACAACCTGCAACTGGCAGGTCTGGAACGGGCTAAAATAGGGCGAGATGGGCTTCTTATTCGGTAGGCGACATGGTCGCGCTTCCGCGTCGCCTGTGGTGCCTTCAATGCCGCACTGGCTTTGACCCGACATTGGCAAACTGACAGATGCAAATGTATCTGTTCTTTATTTTAGCGCATATTCACATGGATGGTACATATGCATTTGTTTTATTTTCGCTTCGAAGGCACCACAAAAACAACACTGCCCCTGCTCTTTGCCATAGTGCACAAAATTAAAAAGAAAAACGAGCAAGAGGGAATGTTTTCTGAGTCTCTTAGCTGGCGCTCTTAACGCTCGGCCACATACAAACAACCACACCTTTTTGAAGAAATATCGGAGCGTTCTTTAAGACAGTGCCCGGAATTAATTCTTTTCTTGTATAAATTCTAAACTGTTTGGGCTTGTGGGTAGGGTACGTGAGAGAATTTTCAATTATTTCCTAGGACTCTGTTAATGGGTATTTCACTGTAAGAAAACTTGGGGAAACTTCTTTAAACGGACCACAAACTCTGTTCAATTTGTTGTTTGCAAACGAAACGCGTTTCGACCACGTTACGAGCTCTCCGTGACACGTTCGGTCGCCGCTCAAAACAAATTTCAGACTAAAACCCGCAACTGATGTCTGTCGATACGCAGCCAAACAACAGAAACAGACTTGGCTTTGAGTCCGTTTGGCTTACGTTTTACGTTTTCAGTTTCTCTGGTCCGGTTTGCTCTCTCTCGAGCCGAGTTTGTTTTGAGTGGCTTTTGGCATCATTCATTTGGCCACCGAGTGGAATCGGATCTGGGATCGGTCGGGTTTTCCGGACCGAGATTGGGTTGCGTTCTAATTGCCGTGGAAATGCTGCCTCCTTGTGCACTCGTTTTAATTAGGCGGTGCCGCCGATTGTTGATGCTACAGCAGAGAATTTAGTGCAAATTGCCCGGGGTTCGATTCTAGACCCAGGGCCACACTGAGGGAAATATATTGTCCTAAGTTGTTATATGAATCATAAATTTAGGGGAGGGCTTTAGCCTAGAATGCTTATTTAGAAATCGCAAATCGCTGAGCTTGTGGAAGAACTGGTTTAAATGCGGCCACAGGATATAAAGAGAAGTGGGCCAAACTGAAAGTTGCTATACATACACGCACAGGGGGTGGGTTTCGCTGGAGAACCCTCTCTTCCCCTGGCCAACTTCTCGGGTGGAGTTATACTTCAGAGCGCGTACGACAGCGGGCATCGTAATAGGTCACGATTTGAGAAGGAAATACAAAAATAAATAAATAATAATATATAAGTAAGGGCATGGGCTTTTTTGGTTGATTCCCAGTTTGTTTCTTTTTTTTTTGCAGAGTTGCGTGATTCAATACAGCCCAAGGGTGAAATTGGTTCTGAAAATCTAATCCTGAACTGTCGGTGACCTTCCACCAGAATCAGGAATGGCTCTGGAGAACGCTTGCGGGTTCACAGCAGCCTGATTGCATAATGGCATAATTGACCGATATTGCGGCACAAGTGCCCCAAGCACACAGATCTCGTCGCACCGAGGGGCCAATGAAGAGCAAACGCCATTGGGCGGGCAATAAAAACGGACACGGACACGGACTCGAAAGCGGAGGGGGTCCGGTAAATAGATACATCCACCCACATCCACAATAATCTGAATGTGCCGTCAACGCTAATGCGACGACAAAAGAGATTCTCTTGATTAAGGTCAGACTTTTATCAAGATTGTCGACTACTAGCATAAGGCATTTACGTAATCCAAGACTTTTAGTAAGATGCTGAACTCACCCCAACTGTCTATCGAACGCCCGAAGTAGGAGTTGTCCTCTGAATCGTAGACCATCTGCTTCAGGGACTTCTTCTTCGGCCTCTCTGGCGGCCTCGAGTAATATTGTTGGAATCCATCTATGCAATCCTCGGTTATGGTCGGCATTCTGTCGCGCTTTGGCAGCTGGCGCTTCCTCAGTTCAACGGTTATACTGTTATACGGCTAATGGGTGGAGATTGCCTTTGCAATTGGTTTCAAAATGTGGGATCGGAATGAAAACGGTAAACGGTAAACGGGAACGGGAATCGGGATCGGGATCTGAATCGGTATCGGTATCCAAATAAGCTCCTGTATATAGATCCGTTCGGTCGGCGTTGGTCTTAGCCTGGGCTTACAACACTGGAAACACTGATGGACACTCTGATACTATGAATTTGCGCTGCACACGACAAGTTGACACCGCTGTGCGCCGCGCGACACTGATCCGAATTTGACAAAGAAAGACCAAGCAACGCCGAACCGGGGGAAATGTGTCTGAAAATCTGAAATATGAAATACGCAAGAGTCAGGCTTAATCAAATATTTTATGCATGTGTGCGGAAATACGCGCTGCGGTTGCCATCGGGATGGCAACCAAAGCTCCAGTTCCAAATCGTAGAAGACGCGAGTCGCGGCGCGTGACACAATTTTCATTTAATTGAAGTCTAAGATCGCGGTGACTATCATCATTTAGTGGCTGCTGCCTGACAAATCCCAGCCGGTCGACGAAATGTAGGCGAAAATTAACTATGATGATCATCCCACTAATTGCCGCATGAAATATGGCTTCCTTTGGCACTGAGACCACTTTAAAATTTACAAGTCCAAATCAGAGGTTAAAAGCAACAAGGCAGGTGATCTTCAAACTGGAAGGGAATAGATTGGAAACGCATCGAATTGGTAGTCATGGCATTTTAGTTTTAGCAAGGATAGGCTCGAATTAATATGCGCCAATTTCGCGCCTCTGCCCGTCCAATTTTTAAATTACGTCAGGCCGAGCTGCCTTCCTTGGCATAGAGATAGACGGAATATCTAACCAAGAATATCTGTGTGCATTAATGCCACGGCGGTTTCAATTGCAAATCAAAAGGCCACGGCTTTTTCGAACAAAAAGTTTTAAAAATTATTTAAAATCCGATAAATTTAGAATTATCGTCAGCTATTTATCGATTCTCGACCTTGCCGACGCCACCTGTCCGGTCAAAGACGGTACCTCCTTATACATAGGTGTGAGTCCCCGCTTTTAAAATAACGCCAAAGCCGATAGGTGTCGCTAATTCTATGTCAAGCGCGACGCGACTTCTGTGGTCACTCACCGACGGTTTTGAACGAATTCAGAAATGCATGTCATACGGTATTATTAATACTTACAATCTTTCGCAAAATTTCAGAACATGTCGCCCCTCTGGCCTCTGAAGAGAGCCATCGGTATTAACAAGAGCAATAAAATCACTAGGGTCACCGTAACGACCAGAAAGATTGTTACGAGTGTTGAATTTTCTACCATTATTACAGGTGGAAGTTTGATGTAACGATAGTTGGTGTAGGAAGGCGATCCAAATGTAGAAATACGTAAAACACTATCATAAGCACTAGGAACAGGATTAGTACAACGATGGTTAGAATTTGTGCTAATAACTTCGTTTCCATAACTTCATACGATTTGTATGATTTGTAATTTCGAGATAAGCTCCACGTACGACGACTTAACTCGACTGTTACTGAGTCTGTGACTAAATTAAACGCCCGATCGCATTGACAACTAACTCGAAAGCTTAGTCAGAGAGTGATTGATCCCGAAATCCGAAGGAAACCCGAAATTTTGCGGAAGTAACTTACAATTTTTAAAAGGCTGCAGGTGGGGCGTCCCCCGCACCGTCACCAACTTCGGGTACATTTACAGGTTCAGGTTCTGTTTGTTCTGTGGTTTCGATGGTTGTAGGTTTCGCAACTTCGTATGGATTGTCAATTATGAAGTAAACGAACATCAAAATCAGGATGAGGAGGCACACAATCACTGATATGCCAACCAGGGCCAATATAATCTTCTGATTCATAATTTAAATTCCCAAAGCCTTTGTACTTTAGCAAAGTCTTGATGTTCTATTGGATCCTGGGGACAAAAAAGATTTATATTTCGATATTGTTTGTCTTCGATTTTGTATTAGGTGTATACAATGCTACAATGATGTAACAAAATGGTCAAAGCTATCTTAGATGAGTCTATTTGATATTCAAATATAGGGTCTTTATAGGTTCGGAAAGGCTTCCTTTTACCAACGAATAATCTTTCGTATGCGAATATAATGAAACCTTCGCAGTTCTTTTTTTTATTAATAGCAAAATGAAATAGGAAAGTTTGAAATATAAAAACTTACCGGTCGCCTAGCACGTTGTAACACAGTACGCCCATATTCCACATCCAGTATAATGTAAACAATAAGCAGGATATCGATGATTACGAGTATGGCAATAATAATAGAGAATATGATTACAATATTTTTTGTCTCCATTTCAACGCAGAGTGGTTTGAATAAATTTGGAGGAAATTTGGAGGAAGTTTTAGTTGGTTTTGAGTTCGAGTTTAAATGAATAAATGTTGTTACCAATTTTGACAGAAAATTCTTGAAGTACTAAGACTCGTGCAAAGTAATGATTCTTTTAAAAGGATTAATAGTTTTATTTTTTATTTACATATAATTATTATTATTTATTAAGCTCGTCGAAAACAATTTTATTCATTAATATATTTAAAAATAATTGTATAACATTTTAGTATTTTTATGACAAGGTCAGTAAAGTCAAGGGCTAGGTCAGGTAAATATGACCAAAAATTTAGACATAAGAAAAGAAGGCTGTGGTTAAAATAGAAAGGATTTATCTTTTAAAAATATATAAAAGTATATCTCTCGTACGTTGAAAGGGCTTTGAAACTTTATATTTACGATTACCATATAAGGAATAACTGGTAAGTTGAAAGGTCATTCATGAATGGCTCTATTTAGAGTGTTGATCAACGGAAGTGTTTGTTTCTCAGTTCAGGGAGCTTTAAAAATTTAACAATGCCGGGCCCTCAGACACTTGTGATGTATGGCTTGATTGGCATCCTTATCGTGGTTATTGTAATCATCTCTATAATCCTGATCGTTGGGTTATATATTCATGATCCGAATCGTAGCACAACCCAAAATGTGACGACAACGGAGGAAAACTGGAAAACCACTTAACCATCACTAATAATCTTTACAATATTTTTCGGATTTACTGGCTTTTCCTTCAGATTTTTATTAGTCAAATTTTATAGTAAATGTCCTTTCTGTTCGTACAGCGATTTTAAAATTCCAAGTCTTAAAACTAATCGAATAATGTTGTCTAATAAACGAATTCAATATTCACTTTTCTTGTAGGATTACTTGATTTTCCGTACGCGGTGTCAAGCCTGTAGTAACCCTTGTGTCAAATTTCAAAAGTCTACTTCACTTACGAACGTCAGATATTAGACTAAAAAACTGCCTTCAAATGTTTCCGTCCTGGCGAAGTCTCTTAAGCTGGAAGCCCCTAAAAATAGAAGGGCACCGTCGGGCGGCCGACGGAATAGAACCCGTTGAGATAATCGACTTGACAATTCCCGAAGAGGATCATCGCGTCATCCAGCAGCTGCACGACGGAAACAAAGGGATCTATACGTGCCCCATTTGCTTGGAATATCCTGAAGCGGCTGTGGCCACCTCGTGTGGACACGTCTTCTGCAGGGAGTGTCTAATCAAGGCCTTGGTGCGGAACCCAATTTGCCCGATATGCAAGAAAGGCGCGAATAGATTTATTCGCTTGTTTACTTAATTTCAAAAAGCCCTTATATTAAATGGTTTTTATGTTTAATTAATAATAAAATAAATGTAAATGAATGCACAGAATCAGTTGCAGCTCCGACGCAGATGGATCGGAAATGCCTAAATGCCCACACCTACAGCAGATGGCGCGACCGTCACGCGGCTCAACCCGTGTGGAAAAAGGAAATCAAATCGGAAATTCGAATTTTCCCCCCAACAGTCGGTTCCCAATGACGTCATTTTCTAGATTTTTGTAGAATAACCCAAGGAAACTAGAATATTTTTTTGCAATATTTATTTTAATTTAAGCCTAAACGAGCCAAAAGAACTGACATATTGATGTTGCTTTAGTCAAGTCGGATCTATGAAAGCCATCATCTTGATCCGAGCTGCTTCGATTTCCATCCAAAATGCGGCACCCAACATGTCCCATCGGGTCTCAGTAGCGCCATTACATTCATCTAAAGACTTTTCCAGGGTCACTTAGAAGCCACCTAAAGGATGAAATCGGTAGGAATCCATGAATAGGGCAGCTGTAAAGCAACTACTTACGCGCGATAGACTAATGTGGATCGGGAAATTAGGGATTACAGGAGGGATCCAGAGAAAGGCCCTAGCAACAGCATTTCGGCGGAGTGTTGTAGCAGTGAGCTTTGCACGGAGCACACCAAACACAGGGTGCGTTATCCTTGTTGATTAGATAGCGTTTGGGGCAGAAACCTTCAAGAGGTAAAGTGTCACACCATGGACTGATCAAAGGGATCAAGTCTTCGATGCTGTGGCACGCACTGTGCTGCCGAGCTATCCACATGCTCTTCCTGCAGTGCTCTTACCTTACACGATTCTCAGAAGGACGGACCAAAACGCAGACGGACCAATAAACGGACAAAACGGACAAATAAACGGACAAAACAGACAAATTGAAATTTAGGTCATGTTCCCGCTTGACCCGACTTACATGGATACGTTGGGGGAGTGTTGTAGTAGTTCCAGACACGGGGATCGGGAATTCCGCCTTCGGGCAGAGGGGGGCAGCACATGCCCGGAGCAGGTGAGCAAGGAATGGGCGACGGGGCTCCGCATGGCGGACTGTGCGGGCCACAGCAGGGTGTTTCATTACAGGGTCCACAGCATCCGCATCCGTTACACATGTTGAGTCCTTACGCTGCGGGCGAAGGGGTAAGAAGAGGTCATAAGCACAAATACCTCAAACTTACTATTTTGGGTGGATTGAAATCGAAAAGAATTTTGAATTTAAAGAGATTTAGAAGCCGAAACAACGAGTCCGAGAGTCAGATATCGAATGAGAATAGCTGCTCACACAGCCAAGTACATCCGGATGAAGTTTAAAATCGGGCTTGAAGTGAAAGTCATGGCCATCTTTATCGGTTCTCTCCGCCTGCTTAGATCTCGATACTCTTATTTTGCGTTTTAGATAATTTTAAGCAAAAAAGAGTGAGCACTTTAAGTAACTACCTATGCTATCTTGAGCTTTGTAATCGTAATTGCGTTAATAATTCATTTTATGATTCCAGAAGTTTGGAGTTCCGATTTTAAGAAAAAAAATAACGTCAAAAAGACTCTATAAACCGCTTTTTATTTTCGCATTCTTCCGAACCAATTAATTTCTGTGATATTTTCATACATTGTTTTACATTTTTATAAACTTAAGGCTTTACACCTTTTTGATTAAATTTCTCAAAATATTCATTTTTACATACTACTTCAACGCATTTTTATTTTTCTTCTTGATTTCCGTTCGTTGCTTCATGCTAAGCTAAGTACCCTTGAGTCTAATTTCAAATGTATACTGTCATTTAATGTCCTATATTACATAACAGTCTTCAAATGTTTACGTCCTGGCGCAGTCTCTTGAGCTGGAAGCCCTTGTAAATAGAAGGACACCGTCGGGCGGCCGATAGAATGGAACCTGAAGAGATGATCGATTTGACAACGCCCGAAGAGGAGCAACGCGTCATGCAGCCGCTGCCGGATGGAAACAATGGAATCTATTCATGCCCCATTTGCTTGGATTGTCCTGAGGCGGCGGTGACCACCAAGTGTGGCCATGTCTTCTGCAAGGAGTGTCTGATCAAAGCCTTAAGTCAGTCTCAAACGTGCCCGATATGCAAGAAATTCTCCATAACTTTTATTCGCTTGTATACTTAACTTCGAGCGGCCTTTGTATTAAATATTTTCTTATGTTTATTTAATAATAAAGTAAATGTAAGTAAATATGGTCGTCAATGGCGTCATAACCTCACGGAGCACAGAATCAGCTCTTGCACCACCAACGCAGATGGATTGGGATTGCCTACATACGAGGTGTGTTCAAAAAGTAAGGTGACTCTTCAAATTTCGCGAATTTCAAATTTTTCGATTATCGAAACCTTTTAGAAGTTATACGAGGTGTGTTCAAAAAGTAAGGTGACTTTTCAAATTTCAAATTTTTCAAATTTTTCGATTATCTTCAGTTTTGGGAACAAGAAAAAGTCACATGGGGCCAAATCCGGTGAATATGGTGGCTGAGGCATTATTGTGGTGTTGTTTTTGGCCAAAAAATCCAAATCCTTTGATCCATATTTTTCGATAGCAAAAAATCGCCGAGCTCGCAAAACAACTTGTAACTTTACGCCTCTCACAACCAAACAAAAGAGGATGTTCCATTGAAACTTGGTACAGATGTTAGGGAAGAGTGTACCAATATAACAAAACAAAAAAATCGATAATCGAAAAATTTGAAATTCGCGAAATTTGAAGAGTCACCTTACTTTTTGAACACACCTCGTATGTATATATTTTGGTAAACTATTTTCTTACTCATAAAATAAATATAGGAACAAAAAGTAAGATTTCGCTTTTTGAATTTTTCCCAAAAGAGCGGACCCAATTTGAATAAAGTTAAAACCCGTTTGTAATATCCCGGGAGAAATAAGTTAGCTAATAATGGGAGAGCTATTTGTGTCAAAAAAAACACATCTTGAGAGCACACAAGATGCACTTTTCAGAGTAAAAATAGCCAACAAAATTTCACCAATGGCATCGCTCAATCGATCTAAGTACAGCCTTAATGAACCAAAATATTTGTCCGGCTTTCTGTGTCCAATGACATCTATCTTTTTCGTGCACCAGGCAGAATTACCCAAGAAATCAAAAGCCATTTTTTTTTTATTTTTTTTTATTTATTTTAAGCCTAAACGAGCCAAAAGAACTGACATATATGGTGTTGCTTAAGTCAAGTCGGATCTATGAAAGCCATTCATCTTATCCGAGCTGCTTCGATTTCCATCCAAAATGCGGCACCCAACATGTCTCATCGGGTCTCACAAGCGCCATTACATCCATCTAAAGACTTTTCCAGGGCCATTTAGAAGCCACCTAAAGGATGAAAGCGGTAGGAATCCATGAATAGGGCAGCTGTAAAGCAACTACTTACGCGCGATAGACTAATGTGGAGCGGGAAATTATGGATTACAGGAGAGGGTTCGCTAGAAGGCCCTAGCAACAGCATTTCGGAGGAGTGTTGTAGCAATGAGCTTTGCACGGAGCACACCAAACACAGGGTGCGTTATCCTTGTTGATTAGATAGCGTTTGGGGCAGAAACCTTCAAGAGGTAAAGTGTCACACAACGGACTGATCAACGGGATCAAGTCTTTGATGCTGTGGCACGCACTGTGCTGCCGAGCTAGCCACGTGCTTTTCCTGCAGTGCTCTTACCTTACACGATTCTCAGAAGACCAAAACGCAGACAGACGGACAAATAAACGGACAAAACGGACAAATTGAAATTTAGGTCATGTTCCCGCTTGACCTGACTTACATGGATACGTTGGGGGAGTGTTGTAGTAGTTCCAGACACGAGGATCGGGAATTCCGCCTTCGGGCAGAGGGGGACAGCACATGCCTGGAGCAGGGGAGCAAGGAATGGGCGACGGGGCTCCACACGGCGGACTGTGCGGGCCACAGCAGGGTGTTTCATTACAGGGTCCACAGCATCCGCATCCGTTACACATGTTGAGTCCTTACGCTGAGTGCGAAGGGGTAAGAAGAGGTTATAAAGACAAATACCGCTTACTTACTATTTTGGGTGGATTGAAATCGAAAAGAATTTTGAATTTTGAAAAATTTAGAAGTCGAAACGACGTGTCCGAGAGTCAGATATCGAATGAGGATAGTTGCTCACATAGCTAAGTACATCCGGATGAAGTTTAAAATCGGTCTTGAAGTGAAAGTCATGGCCATCTTTATCGGTTCTCTCCGCCTGCTTAGATCTCGATACTCTAATCTTGCGTTTTAGATAATTTTGAGCAAAACAGAGTGGGGACATTTCAAAAGAATGCTTATAGCATCTTAACTACCTTAAATTTAGTGGGATTTAAGAAATAATATAGGCACTTTTGCTATTCGTGGTCGTGGCCAGGTTTTGACATAAATGTCTCATGACAAGAATGCATATTTTTAGCAATTTTTACATTTCCAGATCTAAGCGAAACGAATTCTTAGTAGAGGCGAGAATACTACATGGAGTAGAAAACTAAAATAACGCTAATGATCCAGTTATTGTGCATTAATTCGACACCCCACATCTTCCCCATATCCTCTTAAAAAATATATACATATTTCTGTTTTAATTTAATGCCTGAAAATTTAGAAACAAATGATTTTGAGATCTTAAATCAAGAAGTATGGACGTGATTAACAATGTTGCCCCATTCGGTTTCCGGAAGTCGGCTCCATCTTGACTTAAGTAACTTGCAATTTAAATCAACCAAAAATCCGCCACAACACATGTCCCGCCAAGAGGCACGCCAGAATACGATCAAAGCACTTGCCAGAAACTATTCAGAAACCACCTGCGGGAGGAGATAAGTAATATCCCATAAATAGGGCAGATACCGCACCACTTACACGGGACGAGATGTGGAAGGATTAGGTGTCATAAATTAAGGATTTGGAGCCTGACGACAGCATTCAGTCCCGACAGCATTGATCCTGCCTTGGTGCTCACCAAGCTCGGGACATGCTAATATTGTTGAGGGCCTAGCTCTTTGGGCATGAAGATCCTGCAGAGACACAAAGAGTCACCACCAGGAGGACGTTTTAGAAGCTGCGGCCGCATAGTCTCCGGACATGGCACAGTCTCCCACCTCACGGCTCGCATGCTACGGCTTTTTAACGTTTACTGACTGACTGACGGACGGACGGACGAACGGAGACGGGGGATTCGGACAAAGACCTGTATCGGACTTACATGGGTACGACACAGGTGAGTTACAATAATTCCAGACACGCGGATCGGGAATGCCGCCTTCGGGCAAAGGAGGGCAGCACATGCCCGGAGCAGGAGAGCAAGGAATGGGCGAGGGAGCACCGCACGGGGGACTATGCAGGCCGCAGCATGGAGTTTCCTTACAGCAACAGGGACCGCAACCACAGCAGCCACCGGCAGCTCGTCCACCACATGCACCGCCGTTTGGAGCTCCGGTGGCGGCACAGCGCATACGCTTGTTGTTCACGCCCATCATCATGTTGGCATAGCGAAGGGGGAAGGCCGCTGGACCGCAGGTGGGGAACGGGAAACACAGGCAGGCCGGTCTGCCTTGGCAGGCAGACCTTGGACACTTATCCTGCAGGCCGTTCCGCTTCACGCAGTCGCAGGTGGTATACATGATGCCGCAACGCAACTCCCGGCTGCGGCATCCGCGCGGCTGCAATGGATGGTATAGAGCATTGTTCGGATGTCAAGGGCACCTACTCACCTCCAACGATCCACATCCGTCACACATCTTCAGCCCGTTGAGCGCTGCATGGAAACCGATTAAACTAATACTACATAACACTGTGGCACACTTACTTTAAATTGGTGAAATAGTTTTCGAAAAAAAAATTTAGAATTTTGAAAAATGTTTATGCCTGCCGAAACGAGGGGTCCGAAAGTCTGATATCGAATGGAAAACGCATCTCAGGTCCTAGACTACATTTGGTAGGATTTGAATTCAAAGGCAAGGCCATCTTGTTGGGATTACAGCCTACTATAGTTAAGAGAATTTGATTAATTTTCAAGATGAATATTTCGTGACTTTCGTGATCTCGACGCTTGTACGGCCATATGATTGGGGAGTTGGCCGGACTAACGGACATGGCTATATGCGCTAACGCTACCCTTACCTATACCTTCTAACGAATACAAAATATGTAGTCTGCCCATTACAGTCTTTTCACTTGATGCAAAAAATCCCAAAGCTTTCCAGTTGTCGACAAAAGCTCCACTATCATTTACTGCGATCGAGGTTTCGAAATTGCGGCCGTCTCTTCAGTTCGGTCTAAGTTTCCAAGCTGATCGGAGTGGAGCAATGTCGAACATTGCAGTTATCGGAGCCGGGGTAAACGGTGTCGCCAGTGCTATTAAGATACTGGAGCACTTTGCTAACGAGCCAAAGAAGCCAATCAGGGTGACGATCTTATCAGAGGACTTCACGCCAAACACCACAGGAGATGGATCGGCGGGGCTCTGGGGTCCCTACCTACTGGGCGGCACTTCGCAGTCGAAAGTGTAGTAAGTTTCTCCGGTTATGGCCGTTATCAAGTTATTTTAACTGAATTTCGAGCAGCAAGTGGTCGAAGAGCATGCACCAGTTTCTGGAGCAGATCTGGCTGAGCGGAGATGCCGGAGAGGCTGGGGTCTGCCTGCTGCCCTGCGTCCGTTTAAGTACCTCTACGGTGGACATAGTTGGAGATTTCTGGCGGGATATTGTGTATGGAGCCGTGGATCTTACAGAGAAACAGCTGGCTGAATACAACGAAGGTCGCACCGTAAAATTTACGTAAGGAAAATAATAACCAGAATTATTTATTTAGTTTATAATTAACCCTTAACCCTTTTCCAATTAACCCTTACCAATTATGTATAACCTTAACACTCAGTTCATATTATCTATTGGCTAAAATAATCGAAGCTACGCACCATTTCCAGTTCAGGTCTATCCTTTGTTACCTACACCTCGGAGCCCGTTAAGCTTCTGCCGTATTTGATGAAGCGTTTCGCCCGCAGCGGTGGTGTAGTTGTCCGGAAAAGGATAAGTGACTTGGAGGCATTCATCGCCGATTCCCAATACGATGTGATTGTGAACTGCTCCGGCTTGGGCTCCCGGACTCTACTAAACGATGATCAAATGTACGCAGTACGCGGACAGGTGTCCCGAGTGAAGGCGAACTGGATCTTTTCTGCCGTTCTAGACGAGAGCGACGATGGAAACTACATTATACCCAAGTGAGTATGATTACGCATCCTTGAGACATTTTTAAAATATTGAATTGAAAGCACCGAGAGCGTTGTCCTGGGCGGAACTCATCAGGAGCGGGACTACAATACGGAGGTCTGTCAAAAGGACAAACAGCTAATTGTGGGAGGCTGTCGTCGTTTCGTTCCTGGCCTGGAGCACACCGAATGCCTCTTTGACTGGGTGGGTCTACGCCCGGGTCGCACCCAACTCCGACTAGAAGCCGAGCGCCGGGGGCGAAAGCTTCTCATTCATAACTATGGACACGGTGGTAGCGGAGTCACCTTGTGCTGGGGTTGTGCCGACGATGTTCTCGACATCCTACTGGCCGCCAAGAACGGTTCCAAGCTTTAAGCTAAATTTAATAATATATAATATATGTTTTGGTGGAATACTATGGGTTCAGTTTTCTCTTAATAACTAAGAATATCTGAATTGGATCATAAAAATGCTAAGTAAATAAAATGAAAAAATGCAGTTCAAAAATAGTAAATAAATGTAAATATTAAAGCTGTAACTTTTCGCAGTGTAAGCAAATATAAGGTATTATCAAGGCATTATCGCAGTGGCATGGGGATCGTATTGATAGGCTTATCACTGACTGCCTGGAAACATTTCCTCTTTCCCCCTGAAAGTCGCCCTTCATGAGTGTATTTGCAATCAAACACTATTAGATGGGAGGCTGGGTGACTGTCGAGGTGAGAGCCCAAAAGTATGCAGACATTTATTAATATATAAAACACAAAATACAAATCACAGGTCATCGTCGTGTCGTTTTTCAGCAGCTTCCCTGGCTAACCTGGCGTCCAAGGCCTCGTGGAAAGACTCGAAGCCGGGCATATCCAAGTACTTCAATATTGGGGCAACTGGCAGTTCGTAGAGCAGTGCGTACATCTCGTCCAGCTCTCGCAGGATGTCAAAAGGCCGGGTGTTGCCCACCTTGTAGATCGAGTAAATGGTTCTTCCGATCTCATCGTACTCGATCAGGCTGGCAGCCTCCTGGTCCACGGAGCTCAGGGCAATGAAACTTACCCGCGGCATGTGCATGTGCTGGGCAACAAAGCTGAACACATCGAAAATGGTCACAAGGAAGTCCCTGTTAAAGTATAATTCGTCCGGAAAGGCGATTTCATGGACCATCAGGGCGTCGTAGGTGGAGATGCCCAGGTTGGCTTTGGTCGCATCGATGAGCTCCTTCTTCATCATTATGATCTGCTGGAACAGATTTCTGGGCATGGAGGAAGGAAAGAAAACCCTGAAAAGAACAGACCCAGTTAATTTGTGACAGGCGGGGGCAGTTTGAATTTGACTTAATGATCATACCAGGAGTGCCATTCCTCGGTCATCCACTCGAGCAGGCCCACTGCCTTTATTTGCGTCTCGTCCTCGCTGATCATCATCACCGAACACTCGTTCCGCAGGATGTGCAGCACATACCTTTAATTAAATGATTAGTTAAGATGAAGTTCTTAAATGAAATTTTATGTTTCGTAAATAAAGATTTCATATTACTTCGAATATGTTTCTTTCATGCCCTCCAGTTCGAAAAGACCGAGACTCTCGAATACCAAGCTTTTTAGAAACGATTGGGACCACATGAACTCGATAACCATGTCATAGTACCTAGAAACATTTTATGTATTAAGCTTAAGCTTCAGACTTAAATTGGGTTTGCATGCTTTGAGTTTATGTCCACGATGAGCATATTCTCGTAAACATCCCATTGGATGTCATATCGCAAAGTTCGAATATCGTCCATCGCAGCCAAATCACTTTTAATTTTTCTACACTGAAGATTTAGTTAATAAATGGATACGAATTTAAAGAGAGACCAAAGTACGGAAAAATACTTGAATTTATATAAAAATTCGAAATAATTAAATGAAGAAATGAAAATCAGAGCATACTTCTTGGGTGGCTTAAAATTATTACGATCATCTTTGGCTTTGTAATGAGGAAAATACTGATATTTTGAGACTCAAATCGGGACAGAGCGATTTTCGCATTTTTGGAAAGGGGTAACATCATAAAATTTTACGAAAAATCTGAAAAAAATCACTTTTTGAGTGTGGTACACAGTTCGACGGGGAATTTAAATACGAACTCAACAAGATATAACATTCCATGATACGATCATCTTTGGCTCTGTAATGAGGAAAATACTGATATTTTGAGACTCAAATCGGGACAGAGCGATTTTCGCATTTTTGGAAAGGGGTAACATCATAAAATTTTACGAAAAATCTGAAAAAAATCACTTTTTGAGTGTGGTACACAGTTCGACGGGGAATTTAAATACGAACTCAACAAGATATACCATTCCATGACACGATAATCTTTGGCTCGGTAATGAGGAAAATACTGATATTTTGAGACTCAAATCGGGACAGAGCGATTTTCGCAAATTTGGAAAGGGGTAACATCATAAAATTTTACGAAAAATCTGAAAAAATTGACTTTTAAGTGTGGTACACAGTTCGACGGGGAATTTAAATACGAACTGAACGAGATATAACATTCCGTGATACGATCATCTTTGGCTTTGTAATGAGGAAAATACTGATTATTTGAGACTCAAATCGGGACAGAGCGATTTTCGCATTTTTGGAAAGGGGTAACATCATAAAATTTGACATTCGTTTAATCTTAAGAAATTACAACAAATTTTCTGTTGGTCTATATTAAGCGGAAGTCTATTAACAATGCTATAAAAAATTAAAAAAAATAAAATTTTTATTCAGAAATTTTCTTGAGGTATCTTATATGATGTAGTTGCTTCTGACAACGCGAATAAGCTGAAGCATACTTTTTGGATGGCCGCCACAGTGCTTCCAAAACTGTTTAGCATATTGTTCTTCGAATACGATGATATTAAATTGGATTTTTGTTATCCAAGAGGAATAACCGTAAATGTTTATTTGTATAACAAAATGCAAATGTTTTCTATTTTGAATAATGTCATAATTAAACGAATATACCGACGGTAACAATCAAGGGAGATACGTGTAAATTTAATTTGTCTAATGTCTCAATTTGAATAAATTGCCACCACATAAAAGCAAATGCAGCCCAAAAGAATGTAAATAACAATCGCACCCATTTGTGGGTGAAACCCATCCGGGGAGACCGATAAGGTCCGGACTGAAAACCAAACCAAATCCACCCTCGGCAAAACAAAAAATGTCCAAAGTGGAAACACGTCCTGAATTACACCTTGGATTCCTTATGCCTTATTTTAAAATTCAAAGACCATCGGGTGTCATTTACTAGGCAACAAACCAATTGAATAACCGAATTTGGCTCAAATTCGCCCATCTTCGGCAGGATCCCCCAACGGGAGGGGAGCGCATTTTTAAATGTTTCACATCCTCGTCCGTGAGACAATTGGATATTTAAATACAAGCGACAGTTTTAATGCCTGGCATCGGATGACGGTTGGACCGCTGCCATTTGTGGCATATCTATTCCGGACACGTATGCCGGCGTCTCATGGCGCCCTGATAAAT